TCAAGGGCCTTCCTAAGTTTATCGGCAGCTTCTAGACAGTTCTTGAGAGACCTTAAAAGTGTGGTTTTGAGCTCTATATCTTCCATTTCTGACATTTGCGTCCTGTTTCTTTGTCTCCGCATTTTTTTATCTTTTCTTGGTGCACCCCCTAGTGGTCTTTGTGCGCAGTCTTGTAGTTAAGCCTTGATTGTTGTCGGTAATACCAGGGGTGATTTGACCTCCAGGCTAACTGGCTATGAGAGGCCGCTGTGTCTGCAGTGGGAGAGCTTCTGTGCTGGGTCTCTAGGGCGGTGCTAATCTAGCCTTTGCCTGAGGCTATCCGGCAAATGGCGCTGCACAGGGCTTGGGCGGGGCGGGTCCCCGGGGATCTACAGGGCGGGCTGGAGTGAGCAGTTATGGCTGCTCTCAGTTCCGTCCCTAGGGGCTCTGCCTCTCAGAGTCCCAGCAACTGCTGCAAACCTTGGAGAGAAAGCTGCCTTCGAGTTCTGACCGAAGCCAGACAGTCCCGCTTCTCCCGTTTGAGTCTGGGTCCCTAGAGACTCGCCCGGATCTGGAGCTCAGAGTCTGAAACTCCCTTCCGATTGAAAACAACAACCACGCCCTCCGCCGCCAGCCCACTCTGCGCGCGCACTCCGCACCTGAGTATTTCACTTCAGCACTGCGCCTCCTCTGAGTCTGGGTATGATATTCTCTTTCCTCCTAGTTGTAGAATTTCCACTCAGCCAGCCTTCCTGTGGTTCTGGATGATGTCTGTTCTGTCCTTTAGTTATATCTCTGAAGTGGTTGTTCGAGGCAGCAATCTCCAGCATTAACCTATGCCGCCATCTTGGTTTCTCTCCTTGGGCCTTTTCTTGATAGGTTTGTGGAATGCTGACCCAGCTGTAGCTTGTTTGAGAAATTTTAGCAAAGTGTGAAACCTGAGCTAGGACAGGCCATTCATTTGCAAAAGCCGCTTCACACAGGTTGAGTGGGGCTGCCAATTGGATGGAGTGGGGTCTCAGGGATTCACCAGGATGGAGCAAACAAAAATGGCTGCCAGTCAGCCCTATAACAGGGGAGATCCCAGCACAGGAACAATGACCCCTGAAATCACCTTTGTCTGGGAGAAAGTCACCCCTGAGTTCCTGCCCTGATGCCAGACAACCCAGTTCCTTCCTGTATGTGTCTGGGTCACCCAGAACCTAACCCTGGTCCTGGAGCTCAGAGGAAGCAGGATCTTGTAAGTTCAGTTTCATGTGCTGGTCCTTTAAGAACAATTGAGTCTCCAGCAGCCTCTGTGTCACTCAGCCCCAATCCCCACTCATTTTTACAGCTTATAGTTATGGGGACTTCTCTTCCCAGCTCTGGGAGCCTGGGCTGGGATCTGTGTGGGACTGGGACCCCTTGCTCCACACAGGGGCCTCCACAGAAACAATCTCCCTCTCAATTAAAAAAGCAGCACATATAGGTGCTGTGCCTCCACCCGTCCTACCAGTCTCAATGTGCTTTCTTCTTTACTTCACTAGTTGTAGGATTTCCATTCAGCCAGCTTTCAGGTGGTTCTGGATGATGGCAATTCTGTATTTTAGTTGTAATTTTGATGTGGTTGTGGGAGGCAGTGAGTACAAGCTTTTACCTATGCTACCATCTTGGTTCTTTTGAAGGATTACTTTGTGTTGCATATTTGAAAGTAGCTAAGAGAGTAGATCTTAAAAATTAAATCACAAGAAAAAAACCTTTATTTTGTTACCAGGTGACAGATGGTCTTTATTTTGTATACATAAAACTAATATAATATTACTAGTGGCCTGGTGCACATAATTTGTGCACAGGTAGGGTCCCTAGCCCTGGCTGGCGATCAGGGCTGATCTGTGGGGCAATCAGTGGGGTGATTTGGGCCCCCTGCTGGTGCTGCCTGCTCACCAGCCCTGCCCCCCGCTGGGCAGGGCAATTGGGGGGGCCCCCAGTGGCACCTGCTTGGTTGGCCTGGGGCCTGGGGCCTGCAGGAAGCTCCTGCATTGAGCCCCTGCCCCCTGGTGGTCAGTGCACATATAGCAACTGGTTGTTCCACTGGTCATTCCTCAGTTTGGTCAACTTACATATTAGGCTTTTATTATATAGGATGTTAATTATATCTCAATAAAAGATAAAAAGAACTTTTAAAGTAAAAATTAGTAATAGACTTTATGCTAGACCTGGTTTCATTGTAGCAATGAGTAATATCCATATATGGATACAAGAAATAATTGGAGATAATGTACCATCATTTCATTAAGATTTACATTTCCAATAAAAATGTATTCATAATTGAATAAGTATTTATCAACATGTATATGAGTTACATTTATTCCATTTGTAATAGTTATGAAAGCTTTAAAATTTATTTTAATGTGTATATGTATTTCCTTGAAAAGAAGTATAATGGGGTGATAAATGAAGGAATAACATGGAAATGCAAGTTTAAAGAGAACAAAGAATGAAATAAAATTTCTGATTTTTTTAAATTTCTGATTTTTAAAGAGGAGATTATTTATGTAATAAAAAATGCATAATGAAAGTATTTAGATTCAATGGATACATTTAAAAGGAGGAATATAAGTTTTATTTCAAATGACCAATATTTAAATAATTTAAACATTTTTGTTAAAAAAATTGTAGATGTCTACTTAAATATGTGTGGAGTACATAGATTTTCAAAATTCTTTTAAATAGTATATAAGCTGCATAATCCTTTTTGAGAAACAGATGTGGTATGAATAATTCAAATGTAAATAAATGTGGAACATCTCACTGTGCATCCGAAGAGCCCTCCGGGAAGAACATGTGCTTTCAGAGTGCATTTCATAGCAGGCTCTGTGTTCAGAACCTTGGGATTCTTAACTAAGATTTATCCTTTCCAATCTCAGGAAGAGTTATGCTTCCGGAATGACACGTTAGTGATGTGCCACTTAGTTGTATTTTATTACCAAAGGAGTTTGCAAATTTTCATGACTTTCCATCCAAAGTTGCACTGCATTTTTCTTAAATGTCTGCTATTTTCCAGTGGTTCTCATGAGAAATTGTTATAAATTTAAATTTTCATACCTCAAAACTATTGAATCTGAAACTCCGGGTGTGGGGCCTAGCAATCCAGGTGATTCAGATGCATGTCAAAGAAGATACTATTTACAAAAGCATCTGGTATGGGGTCTTGAACATAATAGGCATTTAATAAAAATGAACTGCTATTACTTTTTCTTTCTTTTTTTAAAATATGTACTTCTTTATTGATTTCAGAGAGGAAGGGAGAGGAAGAGAGAGACAGAAATATCAATGATGAGAGAGAATCATTGATCAGCTGCCTCCTGCACACCCCCTACTGGGGATCGAGCCCACAACCCAGGCATGTGCCCTCGGCCGGAATTGAACCTGGGACCCTTCAGTCTGCAGGCTGACGCTCTATCTACTGAGCCAAGCCAGCTAGGGCTGCTATTACTTTTTCAATAAATAGTTCATTCTAGCTCCTTGAAAGAGATTTTCTAGTTAATTCTATACCCTTGGAAGAAATACAGTAGTCCTATGTATTCAATTATTCATAGGATACAATGACAATTTGTTTAAAATCAAATTTATTGTCTTCTACCCAAAACAGATTTCTTTTTCTAACATCCCCATTTCTATCAATGGCAAAAATGCATGTATACATCTCTCAGCATTTCAGCCTGAAATGTCCCCACTGAAAGAACATATTGGGTAATATCAGGGGCCCATAAGCCTGGACATATTTCTTCAACCATCCGCTTCAGAATGTGAAATTCCCACCATCGAAGTCACTTTACTAAGTTAAGAAATTGCATCCACCAGTCTCATGTTAAAACTTACATCTCTTTGCTGGAGAAGACACTTATTAATGCAAAAGCATATCAGGAATTCACAGTAACTGCATTCGCCTAGTAGCCTCTTTGTTATGGGGTGGGGCCACAACATTAGTAACAAAGAAACAGAACTTCTGGAGGACGAGGCCCAGAAATCAGGATTTTAAAAAGATTCCCAGGCCGAAACCGGTTTGGCTCAGTGGATAGAGCGTCGGCCTGCGGTCTGAAGGGTCCCAGGTTCGATTCCGGTCAAGGGCATGTACCTGGGTTGCGGGTATATCCCCAGTGGGAGATGTGCAGGAGGCAGCTTATCGATGTTTCTCTCTCATCGATGTTTCTAGCTCTCTGTAAAAAATCAATAAAATATATTAAAAAAAATAAAAATAAAAATAAAAAGATTCCCAGATGATTCTAATGTGCAGCTAAGGTTGAGAACCATTGCTCTAGAGGACTGTAGGTGAAAATGGATTGCACCTACTTCATAACTGGACTTGGCATCAGGCCCAATCAATCGCCAAATCCATCCATTTTTTTCTTTGGATTTCTCTCCATTTCCATTGCCACCCCTCAAGTTCTAGAACCTACTGCAGAGATTCTACCTCTAATCTCAACCTGTATGTATACTTTCTGCTCCTTTTTATTTTTGTAAAACCATTTTCATCAGTTTACAATTTTGCAGGTGTTTTTTTTTTTAAACTGTCTTAGGGCAAAAAGTAGTTTAACTTCAATGACTCCAAGAATCACTTAGCATGTTTGATGCAGATTCCTAAGTCCTGTTTTCTGGGGTTCTGGTTTAGACGATCTGAGATGGGGTCCATGGATCTGAATTTTGATCACCTCCACCCAGGCGGCAGTGGCCAGGCTCTCCTGGTCTAAAAATCACATTCTGAGGAACATTGCCTGTCAGTGCATTACATCCAAACGCAGTGTTTCATTTGAGGTGCTCCAAAGTTTGGTGTATCAGACCTGACCCACCCTATCTAATAAAGAGTAAATGTTGGCAGAGGTTTGGCCATGTGTAATACGAACTGAGAAAACTAGCTTTCATGTATATATTTCAGAGGATACTGTGTTGACGCTGAAGTCTAACCTAACTCAAAACCTCCAGAAGCATATGTATCTCCAAAGTATTTCCCCCTTTGGAGGGACAGCAAGCAAGAAACCAGAATGAGGCCCCTGAAATATGAGCAACTTCTCCGCATTGAGGACCATGATTTTGCAATGAGACCTGGATTTGAAGGTATTTTTTAAAAATATATTTTTATTGATTTCAGAGAGGAAGGGAGAGGGAGAGTGAGAAAGAAACATCAATGATGAGGGAGAATCATTAATTGGCTTTCTCCTGCACGCCGCACATTGGGGATTGAGCTGGCAACCTGGGCATGTGTCCTGACTGGGAATCAAATCATGACCTCCTGGCTCATAGGTCGACTCTCAACCACTGAGCCACGCCAGCGGGGCTTGGGGTGAGTATTATCTTTACAAAATGAAGTTGAAAATTGGAAGCAATTAAGACCAAGACGCAAGTAAAGGCCATTAATAAAAAAAAAAGCCTTTTATAATTATATTTTCTTGACCAAAAGTACACTTCCTGCTTATATACACCAGTTTGTTTCAACTAAAACCTATACATTGGATTACATGATGCTATTCATAAGAATCTTCCTGAATATTCTTTTAACCTGGAGCACCTGGCTATCATGGAAGCACTAGAATGCCAAATGCCCGACTCCCAGACAACTCTACTGAGTTTTTTCCTTTTAGTCACTTGCAGCAGCTAAGACTGAGCTAAATGTTGGCGTGCCAGGCAGTGTGCACCCCCCCCCCCCCCCCTCCTCACAGTGACCCTAGGAAGCAGGCGCTGTCACGGTCCCTAATGCTCCAGTGTGACCATGGGACTTAGAGAGGGTAAGAAATTTTCTTGCTCAAGGCAAGAAAAAAACGCAGTTAGCGGTGGAAGCAAAGTGCAACAGCAGGTCAGGAGGGCAGAGGAGGGCCATGTGATGCCGGAAGCCAATTCCAGCATGTCATAATTTCAAGAGTTTCAGCAAAAGGTTGATGGAACTTGGGGACTCAACAAAGGCTGAGTCACATATGTTGTCACCTGTTGGGAATGGCTGAGGGCATTTCCCCAAACCTGAAAAGGGATGATTGCTTGGCTGCCAGACAGCTAAAGGGCGTTTTAATCTACATGTTTTGCCTCCTACTGGCCAAACACCTGAACAGCAGTAGGCTAACTCAATCTGACAATGCCTCTGTATAAACCCTGACCCTTTTAAGTGTATATGTCTGCCTCGCCTCAGGACAAATTGTGTTAATAAAAAGCATGGGGTCCTGAGAAGAGGAGAACTTAGATCTTAGTTACCTTTAAGCCAGTGGTTCTCAACCTTCCTAATGCCGTGACCCTTTAATACAGTTCCTCATGTTGTGGTGACCCCCAATTTCATTGTTACAAATTGAACATAATTAAAGCATAGTGATTAATCACAAAAACAATATGTAATTTATGCATGTGTTTTCCAATGGTCTTAGGCGACCCCTGTGAAAGGGTCGTTCGGCCCCCAAAGGGGTCGTGACCCACAGGTTGAGAACCGCTGCTTTAAGCTAAGATCCTCTGATCCCCAAATGCCTTTCAAAATTTTGTCTCTGGACTCCTATTTAATGTATAGCCATCTCCAGATTCCTGAACCCTTCTTAATGATGGAACAAGAGCACCAGCAATGTGAGAGGTGCATATTTGGAGCTAAGTCTTTCCTCCCTCAGATAGTTTAATGTGCGCATCACCAAGCGAGCCACGTTTCCCAGACATACACAGGTGTGGCGAACCCTCCGCCTTCCTGCTAACCCACCCGGATGTTCTGTCCTGGACTTAAGTTTCCCGCTCCCACAGTTCCTGACTCAACATTTTCAGAATATTAGAGGTGTGGATCGAAGAAAAGGAAATGTGCGGGTGGAAGGCAGGATCGTCTCTCAGTGGGACAGGTTCAGCCTTCTGATAACTAACACTTCGGAACTTAGGGCGGGTGGGGAACTTGATTCTCACTATGTTGTAGTGAAATAAAGTACAACAGGTAACTAGTTATGTTGAGGGTTTTTTGTTTTTTGTAAACAGTTCCTGTAATCCATTGGGTTGCAATTCTAAGGATGTGGCTCTGATTTTATTAAATTAGTGACTAAAACTTTAGTGAGCATCAGAACCACCTGGGGGATTCTTTTTTTTTTTTTTTTTTTTTAATATTTTTATTGCCCTAACCGGTTTGGCTCAGTAGATAGAGCATCAGCCTGTGGACTCAAGAGTCCCAGGTTCGATTCTGGTCAAGGGCATGACCTTGGTTGCAGGCACATCCCCAGTAGGGAGTGTGCAGGAGGCAGCTGATCGATGTTTCTCTCTCATTGATGTTTCTAACTCTCTATCCCTCTCCCTTCCTCTCTGTAAAAAAATAAATAAAATATATTAAAAAATAAATATTTTTATTGATTTCAGAGAAGAAGGGGGAGGGAGAGAGAGAGAGAAACATCAATGAGAGAGAATCATTGATCAGCTGCCTCTGTATACCCCGTATTGGGGATTGAGCCTGCATCCGGGCAGGTGCCCTTGACAGGAATCAAACCTGGGACCCTTCAGTCTGTAGGCCAATGCTCTATCCATTGAGCCAAACCGGCTAGGGCCACCTGGGGGATTCTTTTTTTTTTTTTTTTTTAATATATATTTTATTGATTTTTTACAGAAAGGAAGGGAGAGAGATAGAGAGTTAGAAACATCGATGAGAGAGAATCATCGATCAGCTGCCTCCTGCACATCTCCTATTGGGGATATGCCCGCAACCCAGGTACATGCCCTTGACCGGAATCGAACCCGGGACCTCTCAGTCCGCAGGCCGACGCTCTATCCACTGAGCCAAACCGGTTTGGGCCACCTGGGGGATTCTTAACACAGAGGTTACTGGGCCCCACCCCGCCAAATTTTAACTCATTAGATCTGGGTGGGCCCAAAACGTGCATTTGTAATACATTCTTAGGTGGTGCTGCTGCTGGTGGTCTGAGGACCATATTTGGTAACTACTGAATTAGATGATTAGCATCAGATTACCAGGGGTCCTCAAACTTTTTAAACAGGGGGCCAGTTCACTGTCCCTCAGACCATTGGAGGGCTGGACTATAGTTTAAAAAAAAACCTATGAACAAATTCCTATGCACACTGCACATATCTTATTTTGAAGTAAAAAAACAAAACGGGAACAAATACAGTATTTGTATTTGCATGTGGCCAGTGGGCCGTCGTTTGAGGACCCCTGGATTAAACCTTGGCGAGTTTAATTTGTTTTTACAGAGTATTTCTCACAGTTATTGAGTCTAATTTAAGACTTTAAAAGCCTCAAAAATTAATCAGGTTTGAAGATGTGTCTGTCTTTTACTTCTAAGACTATTATTTCTTTCTCCTCTTTTCTTTAGATCACTACTTCTCAAATGTGTCACCCTTACCACAATTCTCCTAAATATGTTGGACTTAACTACCATTCTCAGTAGATCAGTTTCTTTCCCCCAACCAAATTTTCCCATCATTTCAATAATCTACTCTACCACTGTAACCCAGGTGTTCTGTACCGTGCTCTCTATGATTCTATAAAAAGTGTCTAGCCCAGCTGGCCTGACTCAGTGGTTGAGCATTGACCTATGGACCAGGAGGTCATGGCTAGATTTTGGTCAGGGCACATGCCCAGGTTCTGAGCTCAATCCCCAGTGTGGGGCATGCAGGAGGCAGCTGATCGATGATTCTCTCTCATCATTGCTATCTTTATCTCTCTCTCTCTCCCTACCTTTCTCTATGAAATAAAAAAAAAATTTTTTTAAGTGTCTAAACTCTTTTTCCTAGCAACATTTAGTTGGCAAAAATCTTAGGAAAAATCCTGATAAAGTTGCCCAGCTATGGATCCTTTCAGCCACAAGGGGCGCCAATCTCACAGGAATGGCTTGGATCTGGCATTTACTTAGCAGCAGCCGGAAGCTCAAAATGATGCACATGCTCTCTTTAACACCAACTCACAAAGCTGCCCTAATTCGTGTCAGGCTAGGTTCCCCAATCACATGAGTTCCTGATCCAGAGGAAAGGGTCTTTATGGGTCTATATTAGGACTGCTGAAAGGCAGAAAGATTGAGAGAAAGAAGACTGTCCTTGAAACAAAGGCTTTGTCCTTCAAAGTGGTTCCTGGACCAGACCCGCAGCAGTCACCTGGGAGTTAGTTAGAAACGCAGAAACTCAGGCCCCCTCCCAGGTTTTCTGACACAATCTTCATTTTAACAAGCTCCCCAGGTGATGTGAGTATATTTTACAATTTGAGAAACACTGCTATAGATTACTGTGCCCACTGCTTTTATTTTAAAAACACTTATGCCTTCATCCTCCTTCCCTGTATCATCCCCACACTCCAGAAAAACATAATATTGACCTTTAATTCTCTTGATGGGCTACAGATACACGTAAAGATTTTTGTTTTTAAGTGAGAGTGCTTTTTTAAATTTTTTTTTCCCTGAGGCTACTTTGTGGGGCTATTAAAAATGCAATTAAAATGTGCTACTTAGTGGCAGGTGGCCAATCATCCCACGATTAAGAAATTTTTCTGACAATTGGGGCTAAATGGTGTCCAAATGGCCTGTGTGTTCAGGCAGAAAAATCCATAAATTCAGACGACGTGCCAGTCTGGTAGCTCTGTGAAATATAGTCCTTAACCTTCTCTTATCCTGGTCAGTACAGCTTCTTAACACCAGTGACCCATTTCTCTGTTCTCTCAAGGCTGCCTTCCTGAGGAAATAAGGCTGCAGGATATTAAAGACAAGCTTTAATTTATCTTCTCTTTCCTTACACTTGTCCATAACACAAACAAATGCACAGACTTCTTTCCTCTTGAGCTAAATGTAACTTCAGCACTTCTCTTGCCTTAATGTGTTTTCCTAATTAGCTTTAACATTAAAACCAGCTGCTGTGCAGTGTTTTTTACTTTTAGAAGGCGTTGGAAGATTAATCGACTCATTATGTGGAAACAGGAGGATATAAATTTAGGGGAGCTTTTTGTTTAACTTGGGTTATAAATTGTGGCTCATTTTCCTTATTTATGTTTTCTCTACCTTTCCCATTTCCCACAACTAAGGGCTTTTTTTTTTTGTTTTAGTCTTATAGATGATGCTTTCTTTGTTTCTTTAAAGTGAAATCAATTTAGCATCTAGATACTGGCTACTGAGTCAAGAATAGTCAAACAGGAGGACTAGACTGGGAGCTGACCATATTCCTGCCTTAGGGAGCTTTAGATTTCAGGAAGGTCTCTAACCTCTCTGAGCATGAGTTCCCTCCTATTCAAATGGAGCTGAAGTCTGTCTACCTAGCAAAGCCAAGTAAAAGCCAAACTTCTGCAAATCCCTTAAATGCTCAGTTCAGTCCTCTGTAAAATGGGAAATAAATATATGGTACAGCTGGCCAGCCACTGGGTCTGCCACTAAAGTTGGTTCTGACTAGCAAACAGCTGTAATGAGGACTTAGATACAGTGTAATATATTAGATCATATATTTTATTTTATTACTAGAGGCCCGATGCACGAAATTCATGTAAGGGGCTTGGCCCTCGCAACCCCAGCTGACTTGGCCCTCGCAGCCCTGACTTTGTCTGAAGGTCGTGGGGCTGTTCGATTGATTTGCATATTACACTTTTATTATTATAGATTATTTTTATTGATTTTAGAGAGAGGAAGGGAGAAGGAGAGAGAGATAGAAACATCAATGATGAGAGAGAATCATTGATTGGCTGCCTCCTGCACACCTCCTACTGGGGATTGAGCCTGCAACCTGGGCATGTGCCCTTGACCGGAGTGGATCCGGGGACTCTTCAGTCCGCAGGCTGACGCTCTATCCATTGAGCCAAACCAAATAGGGCAGATAATGTATTTTAAATTCATTATATAAATAAGTTGTGTAACTTTCATTTAACTTTCCTTATTCCAGAGTGCATACAAACCAGATTGATATATTTAAAAAGGACTATAGCCCTAGCCAGTTTGGCTCGGTGGATAGAGTGTTGGCCTGTGGACTGAAGGGTCCCAGGTTTGATTCTGGTCAAGGGCACGTGCCTGGGTTGCAGGCTCGGTCCAATGTGCAGGAGGCAGCCAATTAATGATTCCCTCTCCCTTCCTCTCTGAAATAAATTTAAAAAACCATATTTTTTAAAAAGGACTATAGATGTGTGTGCTACTACCTAATTAGTGATCCTGGGAAATCAACACCATAAGCATAATGGTTAATAGTTATTTAATTTTTACTATGCTTCCAATGTTTTCTGTATAGAGTTAATAGTATTTATGAAATAGTTACTATTCATGCTATTGTATGTATTACTGATCCAGTAGATAATGAATAAGTGGGTTGTTAAGATATTTGAATGGATGAGCTTCTACCAACTGAGCCACACTGGCCAGGACACACTATTTCATTTTTCTGTGAGCAATGGACTGATTATTTAAATGTTTGAGTGTAGGATTGGGAGTAGCTGCTTGCATTTCTAGGGGTAGGCTCACATTTTTTGCCTAACTGCAGTAGCATTAGCACTCATTTAGTGTCATTTATTAAGTTTACTGTGTATTCCTTCTAATCTTCAAACAAGCCTCCAAGGTGATACTACTACTTGGGTTTACAGATGAGGAAACTAAGCTTCGGGATGTTACTTACCCCAGATCAGTATGAGTAGGGATCTGGGTTCAAACTCCAGTCTGTGACTCTAATGCCAGAATTTTGTTCAGAATATTGTGCTACCTCTCCAAACCTTTCATTCCCTTGGAGTAATGGACTTAATGGGAAGAGTTGCTCATACTGAAAGGCAAGTAGAATCGTGGATGAGATCTTCCCATGAATTTTTATATTTTATTTTATTTTATTTTTTTCAGAGGAGAACATGAACACAGTCCCCCACTACCACAAATTATGCAGTTGAGTTTCCCACATTTGGGGAAATTGCAGAGGTCAGCACGTCCAGAGTGCAATGGACAAGCCTCGCCCTGGGAAAACCACCTTCGTGATCATGGTATCTCCCCTGCCAGGTAAGTATGAATTTTTATTTTGATATCTCTACTAATTACAGAGAAGAGGCAAACAGAAACCATCAGAGCTGAATCCTACAAAGAAGTAATACTGAGTTGTTACCAAGTTGATGCTTAATCATAGTATCACTGAACAACATTATTTACAGAATTGTCATTATTAATACTGTAGAAAGCAATTGGTCCAATATGGCTGGAAGCAGTTGGTGGTTAAGATGCAGGTAAGGTATTCCTGGAACCTGAAGCAGAAGTATATGTAAGTGGCAGGCCCAGTGCCTGGCCAGCTGGAGGAATGAGATGGAGGGGTCGGACTCATGAAAGAGGAAAGGGAACCTGTGTTGGTAAAGTGAAGGCAATATGAGCCAATTAATGGGGAAGTCACAGATGTTGGACAGGGACTGGCAAGGCACATCTTGTTTTATAATGTTTTGTGTATTTACAATAACTCAGTGCTTTATTGAATGATATGCACATATATGTCTCATGTGGCACACCTGGACATTCATTGATTTTTAGTAAAGAAGCTTTTCTGTCCTGACTTTTTGAAATCCCAGAATATTGACTGAAATAGCCAGTGCTAAAAAAGAGCAAGATTTCTATTTTTCAACAATAATTAAAAGTATTTTTCGACATATGTACTACTATTTGTAATGCTTTAAATATAAAATAAAATTAAAAAAAGAAAAAAAAGAAAGTATTTTTCAACTCAAGACTACACAGAGACAATAAAATTTAATTGAGAACTGGCCCTATGAAAAGAAAACATATGAAGACTATATGTATAACTATATAAAATATTTTAGCATATATGTCCATTAAATTTCATATACAATACTGAATAATGAAATTATTTTTGTTTTTAAAGATATTTTTTATTGATTTTTAGAGAAAGAGGAAGGGAGAGGGAGAGAGAAACATTGATGAGAGAGTGAAACATCCATTGGTGGCCTCCTGCACACTCCCCACAGGGGTCACACCTGCAATCTGGGCAAATACCCTGACTGGGTTTTGGACTAGCAACCTTTCCGGGCATGAGACGACACCCAACCAACAGAGCCACTCCAGCCTGGGTGTGAATAATGACGTTATTAACATCAGCATCTCTTACACAGGAACTGGTGAGACCCTTTGTGAGGTGTAACAAGGAAATGGCTTGGTCTCAGGCTGGACTGGATTCTCTTGCATCATCATTCAGGTTCTCTGGGCCCATGAACCTGATTCTGAGACTCAGCTGCAAGCACAGCTCAGCAGTTCTCTGTCTGAAGTTGCTCCAATTCTGACTTTTAGTATACTCTCATCAAACGCATTTCTAAGAATGTTTGCTTCATCCTAAAAGCAGGTTGTGGTTACCGACGACCCGGGAAGGGCCATTTCTCAGTGTGTGCGTCCCCGCGTACGGCTGCGTTGTCCTCACTGTTCTCTGGCCTGCAGGCTCTGCCCAAGCGAAGGAGGCTGGTTTTTCAGCAGGAGGGTAAAGGCTCCCACATTTCCCAGAGTCATGAACTCCATGACCTCTCCACTCCCTGACTATAAAATATCATCATTTTCCATAAAAGATATAGAATTCCACACACTCTTAGGCAATGTTGTCAAAATGTTATTCCTTTTTAAGTCACTACTAGTTAAAAAACTAAAAACCCCCAAACAAAAAATTGGAAACACCACTTTTATACAGTAAGTATACTATGAGAGGGAAAATATTCAATTGTTCCCAAGCAAATGTGTAATGATTATTGGAATAACATTTATTTAGGCACGTGCCTTTATTATTATAATTGAATGTATAATAAATCAGTAGGTAATGGAGAAATGTGTTGTTTAAAAATCTTGAAAGTGTATTTTCAACATTGCTCTCTCTGCTTTGAATGAAAATAATTTTAGTCGCTTCTCAGAATATTGCCCATTCTTCTTGCGGAAGGGTTTCAGTACCAGTGGGAATAGATGTCCAGCTTGAAAGCACTGCCAGCATTTCAGAGGTTAACATGCTGAGTTTCTCCAGGAGGTGCTGGTTTTTCTCTGAAAGGATGAAGACTCAATAGTGGGAAAATCACTGGTATTTCCACACATCATTTTAATTATGTATGTTGTTTATTTTTCCTACTTTGCTTAATAAAGTTGTGGTTGTTTTACTTTCTTTTTTTTTTTTAATATATTTTATTGATTTTTTACAGAGAAGAAGGGAGAAGGATAGAGAGTTAGAAACATCGATGAGAGAGCTCGATCAGCTGCCTCCTGCACGCCCCCAGTGGGGATGTGCCCGCAACGAAGGTACATGCCCTTGACCGGAATCGAACCCAGGACCCTTGAGTCCGCAGGCCGACGCTCTATCCACTGAGCCAAACCCGTTCGGCTTTACTTTCTTCTATCTACTTCTTTCTGCCCTTGATTCCAATTCTCATTCCTTTCCTACTTGTCTTTTTCCTTCTGGGGAACGTGCCATTTTAACAGATTCAGGTGATTCTTTTGCACACCTGAATTTTAGAACCAGCGTTTCGTGGTCCTTTCTGTCTCTCATGCATCAAAAAATCGTTGCCTCTGTCCCAGTACCTCTGACAACTTTCCTTCCACTACCAGTTCTAATAAATGCTGCATCCAGGTTTTTGTGGGACTGTGGTTTATTCAACTTGGGGGTAGGGGTGGTTCTTTAACAAACATAATAAGATTTATGGACACAAAATCAGTTATAAAAGTGAGTATTTATTCACGAGAAAAGAAATCAAAGTAAGATTCTAGAGCATGGAGTTTCAGGTGCTTTTCTTCCGAGACCTCTTTAGGTGATGCTCCAGAGAGCTTATGTAGAAATACTTCCCAGTTGTAACTGGCTTTCCTCCCCCAAGTTGAATACTCTCTGCTTCCCAGGAGCTCTCAACATTTATTGGGGTCCAGGTGAGGGTGGGACTTTGCAACTGAAGCTCACTAGCTTCAACCTGAATCTACCTGAAATATAAGATAAGCCATTTACTTACAGGCCATTAACACCCACGGGAGACAGTCTGGACTAATGGTGTTGAGTGGTCAATCTGAACCATATTCTTTTAAAAATATATATATTTTTATTGATTTTAGAGAGGAAGGGAGAGGGAGAGAGAGAAACATCAGTGATGAGAGAGAATCATTGATTGGCTGCCTTCTGCACTCGCCCCACTGGGCATTGAGCCCGCAACTCGGGCATGTGCCCTTGACCGGAATCGAACCAGGGACCTTCAGACCCCAGGCCAACGCTCTATCCACTGAGCCAAACTGGCTAGGGCCTGAACCATATTCTTACTGCCTTTGACTTGTCTTTTCTTCTCTCTGCCTAGGATTTTACGATGACTTTTTATCTCAGACACTAGTGTCCTAGTGCACGGATTCGTGCACATTGAAAGGAAATTAATTAGAAGAAATATTTTAATATCACTATTCGCCCTTTCTCTATAATAGAAGTGTCAACCAAATTCACGATTGACAATGACAGATTGAAACACACATGTGCAATTGGTGCCAGTGAGAGCTTTATATGTATTGTGCATGTGCGAGTCAACTTAGCCTTTCATATGTATAAAATAAACTTGCCTCATTAGACCTGCTTTCTGATGTAGCTAAACTTTTTCCAGCCCAGTGAAATACCCCAACTTCTCTTTCAGGTAATTGTCAGCAACACAGCAGTAAATATCAACACAGAGCAGATTATTATTGTAGATCACACAGGGAGAACAAAGGGTGGAATATATATATATTTTTAATTTTGCAATATTGGGGGGCCAGGCGGCAAGTCCCGAAGGACTTCCCCACATGCTCAGGCTGCTCCAATCCTTTATTGATCTGGAGTAGCCCTTAGGGTAAGGAGGTTTCAATGACACACAGATCAGCAAACAATTTCCAGGAATAGACAAAGTATCTGATTAGCCCATCAATAGATTTCCGGGAGTATCTGATTAACAATAATTAACAAGGATCTACATAAGTATCTAAGGAATTAAGTGAACTAAGGTGGGGATGCTTCAACTATTATTACCTAAATTAACTGAGTGGTTCCTAGATTAACTGGGTGGTGCACAGCCCTGACCTTTGCTAGGACTTTCAAGCCCTGACCTTTACTAGGACTTTCAAGGGCTACTAGCTTTTGGGGGGTCTCTGTCTAAACTCAGCTAGTGAAGACAATGAATGGATTCCAGCATCTCCCCCTTATTTTTTCTTTAAAAAATAATCAAGTCCCAATTTCAATGTCCAAAAGTTCTGAGTCCAAGTTTCAATGTCCGACAGTTCATGTGTACATGCCAGCATGAGATGTTGGTTCTGGATGGTGGAAAATGCAGGTCCGGTCCTTTCTGGTCTGGTCCTGGGCACCCTGCAGCGACGCACGGCTGCTGACTGCTAGCATGGCAAGGAGTCTTCACCATCTCCATCTCTGAACTGTCTCTTCTGTCTTTGTGGCTGGCTTTTGTTGTGCCCAGATTTCAAGGTTCCCAAAAAGCCCACCAGGGAGCCAGCGAGTCCGATGCAAAAGCAAAGAGTCCTTCATTTCGAAGTAGTTCGGCTCCCCGACCACACTCACCGATGCAACAACGGTAAGCCCAGTGGCCGAGAGAAACCGAAGCCTGATGGGAAGGGGGTTTTATAGGAGGGTGGAGTAAGGGCAGGAGAGGGGACTGTGGGCCCTGCCGATTGGCCAGGCGCGAGTTGGTGTCTCATTACACAGGATGTAGTCATATTGATGGCGTGCACTTCCCTTAATTATCATTGGTTAGTCCAGAGAAATCCTGGGCGTGGCCAGCAGCGGCCTGGGCCTCCGGGAAGAAGCCCCCACCAAGCACATGGCTCTGCCCAAAAATGGAGGACCCAGGGCAAGATGGAGGGCACAGTCCTCGCCTCTTGATAGGCGTCCCTCCCCGAAGGCTGAAGGCCGCTCCCCAGCACCCAGGAGCCCGGGGCACCGTTCCCCTGCTGGAGGGGGCTCGTGCCGCCCCTGCTCCCCCAGAGCCCCGGGCCTGCCCCCTCTCCGCGGCCCTCGGCCTTCCTGGGCAGGAAACCAGACCAGGGGCAGCCAACCCAGCACCGGTGCCGGGAGATGGCGGGGACGGGCTGGCGGGAGCCCACCTCGGGGAACGCCGGGACCGACCGTGGGGAGCGCTGAGCATCAGGGCCTCTAGGTTGAGGTCTCGCCCTTTCAGCTTTCTGGGATCCATTGTTACAGGAATCCACATGGTCTTGTAGCTGTTCTCTGAAAGTATACAAACATATTCTCGACCAAAGGTTAAAGAAAAAAACCTTACTTGGGGTCTTTTCTTTAAAATGATCTTTCCTGGCTTACCCTGGCATAATGTGTGTTTTTTCTGGATGTCTCGCTAACAAAAAAAATTTAATTTAGTTATAAGATCTATTTTCTTACATGGCATTTTTCCACTATATTTTTCCACTATCCCCCTTTTTTTGATTTAATTAGGAGGCTCCTTGGAAATTTTATAATGCAGTCTAGGTAGCTTTAAATATTAATTTTTTGCACAAAAAAATGAACCTGAACATGCTTTAGGTTCATAGCATGTTTACCACAAAATGAAAATTTTGGTTAATAGTTTTTGAATAATTACTTCTTTCAAGTTAGCCAAATTTAATTTGAAAACTTGACAACTATGTTACTGTCAAATTTAATATTTTAACAATAATCTTAATTTACACTGTAAATATTAATGAAAAGGATCACTTTACATCCTTGTGAAGGCTCTGAGCATTCCTGTTGTTAGGCTAGATTTAGACATTGGGTCTCTTAGCCAAGCCTCCATTTATCTGGATTCTGATTTCAGCTAGACCAAATCTCTTTTGTTATTTGGTTCCTGATCTGGGCTGGGCATGGGAAGCAAGAAGCAGCCATGGGGACAGGAGACCTTCCTCAGGAGGAGTGAGTGTTCAAGCCCCTGCACCATTGGGAGGGTGAGGATCTGTGCCCCACCTCTGTTGATCCCCAAGTTTTCTCCTACTGGCCCCCGACTGTGCCTGTCTTAGGTCACCCCACCCTGTGGGGTCTTACCCGTCTTTGACTACCAGCCATCTATGGGCCAAGTAGGGTGATGTGAGGTTCAGTTCTGTCTCCTTGGTAGCCTATGTCCCTCTGGCCTCCATGCCCAGCAACTGCCTTTGGATCCCGTCGCCTGCTGGCGGGGTCCCGACATTGATCATAGGGTACCCAGGTTTCTTCTCCAGAGAGGGCCCAGCTTACGCCATTGGGCAAGAGACAGATTCATGGTACCAGGTTTTCATGATCTCAGCTTGAACAGAGAGCTCAGATAACAGCTGTAGACAATTGGAATCCTTTTGGCAAAAAAGGTCAAGAGAGATCAATACAGAATGCTTAAAAGTGCCTTCCCAGGAGGGAATAAATCCCTTCACATTCTTAAAACATTCAAAGTAAATATCAATTTGTAAGCTTGTTTGTGATAAATGCACAATATACTGTTGTAAAGCATCAAAAATTAATAAAACTTTATAGAATAATACCATGTAAGAATATTCTTTGCTCTAGGTCATGACAACTTAATTTTAAACTCAAGGTTTGGAATGAGGAACCTAGTTTTCAAAAAAAAAGAAGAAATTTACAGAAGCAGAGACAGTATGCTATCTAAATTACAGTTCTGCGTCTCCAGAGCACTGAGTTGACAAGTTATCTGGAGCCCCCTGACCTTGGGATAGCTATGCTGTCCTTCCCAGGTAAAGGAAAAATGTGCCTTCTAAGACCAGTATGAAACTATAGTTTTTACCTGAAAGAATTGTTACCATACTTCACTTTACCGTGCCCCAGGTGGTCTCTGAGCTGTTCCTTTTATTCTGACACCAATGTAGCTCCATAGGTGTCTTTCCATTAGCATCACAAGTGAAAAAATTTAGAGTAATTAAAGCTAGGTGCAGCCTACCTGTAGGTGATTTCTCCATCATCCCCCTTTTTTGTTTTTCAAGTTGGGATTTTTAAAAGCTGATGAGACTCTGAAGCCTCTTTCAATAAAGCAACCAATTGATCAGCATGTGCATTTCCCTTAGTTAATGGGCTAGGTAATATGCTGTGAGCCCTGATGTGGGTGATATAAAAAGGGTATTTTCTCTGCTGCACAATCTGTTGAACTTGCTTAAATAGTAAGAATAAACTTTGGTCACTAAACCATTTCAACCGTGCAGTTTCAATTCTACTTACTAGGCCCGAAGCATAAGAGGAATCAGAAATTATATTAACAGGCTGTTGGAAATCTTGCAACGCAGCCTTAATAGCTTCTAATTCAATTCTTTGCACAGAAGTATGACTGGTCAGTATGACTCGGTCAGAATTTATAGTATGATAGGCAGCTTTCCCATTAGATGACCCACCAGTAAAAACAGTTAAAGCTCCAGGAATTGGTTCCTGCCTAGTGTTTTTTTTTTTTTTTTTTTTTTGGTATAATGATGGAGGTCTTATATAAAAATTGTAGTAGTTTACATTTTAATAGGTGACAGCTAAGTTCCCCTGAATATCCACTTAGCCCAATTTGCCAATTTTAAGTCAGTTTGAAATAACATTTATTCTTTTAACTTTACTTGTCCTAAGTTATGGACAGTAAATGACATTAAATTTCTGGTATTAGTCTTTGGGTAAATTTACATAGACTTTGTTTAAGGAGGCAAAACACAAATTATTCACTTTAGTTTATGAGGCCCAATATATTGATTTTTAATTATAGTTAGACATCTGAAAGAAACCTCTTTTTATTTCCTTCCCGACAGTTTTCTTTCTCACTCAAGCCACAAATGTAAGGAACATGGTTGCCTTTTGAGATTTTAACAAATACTGTCGCAAAGCTATATATTTCAAGTGATTTTTCATTTATGGTGACTAATTATTGTCAGATTTAGTATTTTAACAACAATCTGTAAATGTTAGCAATTATATTTTTAAAGAGTATACCCTTTGGCTTATTTGCATATACAGAGGAATCATGGGAAGCCTTCAGTAACCTTTTCAGAAGAATTTACTTTACTAGGATTCAATTGCTTACAAGGATAGTAATTTAAGTAAGTATTTTTTAAAAAGCAAAGCAAGTAAATTTAGTATTTAGTAAACTTCTGATTCACAAGGGGCAAATGCTGCACCACTTCCAGCCTAATTTAAAATGCAGTAGTGAGGAGCTTTTGTTGTTTCAAAGTACATCTTAAAATTTCACTGCTGTATTTTAATAAATATTAAACAAAATAACTTGTTTTGCCCTTCCTCAGAGGCAAAAACTTAAAATATATTCATTAATTTTTATTTGATAAAGCTTTCCATGTGATTTCAAGTGTATTTTTTAGCTAAATTAAAAAATCCTTTAAAAAGAGAGAATAAACTTTTGAAAACATTTCAGGGCCCGTGAAATTTCTCAGTCATTCCTTGGTTATAGTTTTGAAATCCAACTTGAAAGACCATCAAATATATATAAATATATATATATATATGATTTAAAAATTATATACTTATTATAATTATTAAGAGATATCAGTTATATTTAAACTGGTTTTAAAATTTTGGCTGGGGTCACAGAAATTGGATTACTGTTATCAGTCCCTTTTAATGCTTTGACATAAGCTATTTAACTTTTGTTTAGGGAGGGAACATATAACCTTTAATTGTCCTTAGTTTAAGGAAAGCAGGGTTTTCTAGATTTAAGAATTAGAAACACTTACTGCCCCATCCGCATTTCTGTAGTGAAATTTCGCCTTAAAGCTCCACCCCTGAAATTCCATCCTGCCCCAGTGAGCAGACATTCCTTTTGTGATTGGCTAAGTCAGAGGGCGGGGCCTTTGCTGCTTCAAGATGGCGGCCCCCAGGGGCGCAGTAAGCCATGTGGACAACATGGCGGCTGCCAAGTCATGCAGCCCAAAGTGGTGTCTGTCTACACTGTTCTTTGCAATTAAATTTAAACTGGTTTTTGTATTAAAAATTTCAGTTGAGGTCATAAAATTAATCCTCTTTTTAAATCAGATCAATAAGCAACATATTTTGAATTCTAATTATTTCAGAGGAAACAAAAATTATTTTCTCAAAAATAAATTTTTTTTTTTAAGCATTTAACTATTATAATTATACAATTTTTCCCAATTCAATCCGAATCTTAAGCTCTTAGCTGGCAAGTCAAATATTCAGCATTTCTCAATCAGTAACATTTTTAAGAATAAACTTCAAAAATGCAAGACATAGTCAACCAACAGATTTAATACTGTCCTCTAGATTTTGTACGAGGCATACTCAGATCTCATTTAATTCAGTATTATGTCACTTCAAGATACCTAGGTATAAACTCCAAGGTCTTAAATTTCACAACAGCTTTGGAAAACCACACTTGAGGCTGGCAAGGCAGGCCTGGCCCAGCCTTTGATTTTAAAAGACCATAATTTTTTCCTCTGGGGAAGGTCAAGAAACAAGCTTGTAGCTACATTGTTTCCTGCCCCTTGCTTGCCAGTGGGAAGTTTCAAAATTGGGAGGAAGGGGGGAGGGGCTGTTTTCCCTGGAAGAACAGGTTTGGCCTACCCTGGACCAATCAGATGTAAATTGACCACATTCTTTAAGAATTTGCTACAGGCGGGAAGCAACTAGCCCCTTTTCTCATTAGAAATGTTTTGGCCAGCCTTTTCAATAAACAAAGGGCCGGTTTTTTACCGGGCTACTTAGATTTTAATAATTAGAGATTTTAATAATTTTTGAGATTCAAATTCAATTATTTTAAGGCATTTACTTTAGCAAATTTTTGTAACAGAGACAATTTTACTGCTATTCCTTTTAGAGGTCTTAAAGTTAGCTTTGGAATAGGCTTCATTAACATTATTATGGAAAAATACCAATCTTGTTGCTAGAATTTCTACCCTGGGTCAAATTCGCCATTTTCTTTAGGAAATAATCAGTCTTGGGTTTTATTCTGCACATTTGTAAAGAAATTCCAGCTCAAAACTCTGTCTAAATGTCCAAAGTCGGAACGAGTGCACATTAGTTCCAAGCCAAGTTTTCTCTTTACACGTGAACAGAAATCCCAGACGCATTTTAAATTTTTGTAAAACTTTTCAATTACGAGAAGGAGACTTTAAATTAGAGGAGGCGTCCATATTGGATCGCCATGTGCTCCCTTTTCCTTTCCACCACATCCTACTTTGGGGGAAGTTTCAGCAAATGACTCAGATGGTGTATTTGTTCCCAAAGTCATGCTTAATAGAAAAACAGATTTTAAAGTTTTTTTTCCTTTTTCGCTTTCCAAAGTAATAGCTAGCACCCAAGGTGACATTGGCTAGACTTTGCACTTCCGGACATGTTCTCAGATAATTCTTAAACAGAACATTAAGTAATCTCATTGCGGGGGAACTTATTGCTCTGCGCTCTCCTGCCACCTTTGAATCTCTCCAAACCAGAGAGAGATTCGGCAGCGGGGTTCCATTTCTTATTACAGATAGATTCCAAATACAAATTAAGATAAGAAAACACATTAAGATGACCATGGCACTATTTTTTCAGCCTGATATAAAAAAGTACCTTTTTCAAAAAAAACAAAGGTTATGTTCTATAATAACATGCAAAAACTATAAAAGATTACCTTCTAAAATTTTAACACTTTAAACATGCAAATCAAAAGTCCATAATAAAGTTTCTTAGTTTTAAAAAGCCAAATATACCTTTTTAAAGCCGAATCTACTTTTTTAAAGCCAAATCCTGCCCCGTTTGTTAGCCTGGTTAAGAAAACGTTCCCAGTGTACTTACAGATCCAGGCTTCTGTAGTTGATCCTGGTCATTGCATGCGGTAGAATTCCCCTCACCTTTTTTCAGTGAGTTTTCCACACCTTTTCGTGAAAACTTCCTTTGCTCGCTCCAGTGAGGCCTGCACTTCCAGATTACCCGTTGGGCGCCAGATGTTGAGTAAGACTCCCTCCACGTTCTGTGTGGAGTAGGGTTCGGTATCTGAAAGAGGAGCCGCACAACAAATGAGAGAAAAAGACACGAGATAATTTTGCAATATTGGGGGACCAGGCAGCAAGTCCCAAAGGACTTCCAAGGGTGAAATATTTAACTGCAGCCGTGTTTGACTATATTCTGCACAGGAGAAAGCCTGAAGTCATTTTCAAGTTTCACCATTTCTTACTTCTTTTCAGTCAGGTCAAGTTTCTAACCTTTCTATATCTCCGTTTTCTGGCTAATGAAAGGAAAATAGGATTCCACTGAGTCTCCTATCTACCTACTCCAGCACTTCTGTGAGGATCAAATGAGATGAGGCACGTGAAAATGCTTCACAAACATTTGGTTGACCTATAAAATATTTGCACTTGGGTATAAAGCAAGTTGGGTTCCTGGGCTGAAGAAACTCCAAGGAAGCTAGTCGCTGGGGAGAGGAAGCTGGGAGTTGCTACATCACATTATTACCTGGCGCCCACAGCCACTGTTTCCGGGCTGGGCTGGGCTGTGGGCCACATTTTGCGCCAGGGGGTCTTGGCAGCCTTGGCTGCAATTTGGTGGGCTGTCCCTCTGGGGTGGTGGTGGGGTCTGTGTCCCACTTGGGGGAAGCTGAGTGTTGGTTTGTTGGTGCCAGGTTCGTGGTGCCGTTTATTTTTTAGTATATGTTCTGCCGAAGAGAGCACAGTGCTGTTTATTTTTAAATGACCAGTGCACGTCATGGCAGCTCCTGCGTTGAGCATCTGTCCCCTTGTGGTCAGTGCACATCATAGCTACTGGTCAGACTGATGGACACTTAGCCTTTTATACATATAGACTAGAGGCCCGGTGCACAAAAATTTGTGCACTCAGGGGGGAGGGGGGGGGTCCTTCAGCCCGGCCTGTGCCCTCTCGCAGTCTGGGACCCGACTCGGGAGATAACAACCTGCTGGCTTAGGCCTGCTCCCGGGTGGCAGAGGGCAGGCCCAATCCCTAGGTGCAGCCCCTGGTCGGGCTCAGAGCAGGGCCAATTGGGGAGTTGGGGTGCCGCCCCCTGTCATGCACAGAGCAGGGCGGATCAGGAGGTTGCGATGCCACCCTCAGTCACGCTCAGGGTAGGGCCGATTGAGGGGTTGCGGCACCACCCCCTGTCACCTACAGAGCAGGGCCCATCAGGGGTTTGGGGCGCCGCATCCTGTCACACTCAGGGCAGGGCCGATGGGGAGGTTATGGCTCTACCCTGTCACACACAGAGCAGGGCCCGTGGGGGTGGGGGGTTGGGGCGCCGCTCTATATCACCCACAGAGCAGGGCCGATCAGGGGGTTGAGGCGCCGCCACTCTCACACTCAGGGCAGGGCTGATGGGGAGGTTATGGCTGTACCCCGTCACACACAGAGCAGGACGCGTGGGGGGGGGGGGTGGTTGGGGCGCCGCACCCTGTCACACACAGAGATGCAGGGCGATCAGGGGGTTGGAAAGCTCCCCCCTATCAGGCACAGAGCAGGGCTGATCAGGGGGTTGGGGCACCTTCCCCTGTCCCGAACAGAGCAGGGCATATAGGGAGGTTGTGGCCCCGCCCCCTGTCACACACAGAGCTGCAGGGTGATCAGGGGTTTGGGCGCTGCCCCCTGTCATGCTGATCCAGGTGCCGGGAGGCCTCATGGCTCCGCTGATCCGCGAGGCATATTACCCTTTTACTATATAGGATAGAGGCCTTTTGCACGGGTGGGGGCCAGCTGGTTTGCCCTGAAGGGTGTCCTGGATCAGGGTGGGTGTCCCCACTGGGGTGCCTGGCCAGCCTGGGTGAGGGGATGATGGCTGTTTGCAGCTGGTCACACCCCCTTCAGGGTGGGGGTCCCCACTGGGTTGCCTGGCCAGTCTGGGTGAGAGGCTGAGGGCTGTTTTCAGGCTGGCGGGTGACTGAAGCTCCCAACTGCTCCTTTTTTTCTTTTTTTTAAATTCTGGGCCAGCTTTAGCTCTGGCTCCAGCTCTGAGTCCTCTGCTGCTGAAAGCTGGTATCTGGTTTGTTTGGGTTCTATAATCGAAACACTGTATCAACTCCAGCTCTGAGATTGCGGCTGGCTGAAAGCAGGTTTCTGGGGTTTTGTTTACCTTCTATATTTGTAAGAATGTTTCAAACTGCAAGCTCAGAGGCTGGCAGCGGCACAGGTGGGGAACATTGGAGTCCTCCGTCACTGAAGCAAGCAAGCCTCATGTTAACTTCAAGCTGCCTGGCTGCCCGCTGCCATCTTGGCTGACAGTTAATTTGCATGTCACCCTGATTAGCCAATGGGAAGGGTAGCGGATGTACGGCTAATTACCATGTTTCTCTTTTATTAGATAGGATTACTGGAAAGATGAAAAGCTCTCCTTCCCTAGCATGACAAACAAAAGCATGACTTTTGATCATAGATTGATCAAAAAGATTTGGGTGCCTGATACCTTTTTTGTCTATTCTAAAAGATCCTCCATCCACGAAATGACTGTGGAGAACACCATGCTGTGTATACACCCTGATGGCAACGCCCTCTTCAGCCTCAGGAGAGGAGAGCTGTCTGTGCCTTGGACTTCCTGTCCCACGACTGTCTACACGATGCATGTCAAACTCAAAGGCCAACATGAGGCAAATAAACAAGGTTTATGTTTATGTGGGCCACAAAAAAGCAAAAGCTTCAATTTTCATAGAAATGTATGTTTATTTCGATAGAGACATGTTGAACACAAAGGGGTGAAATAAATGAGTAATCATTAACATAAAATAATAGAATATTTTAATAAAAATTAATATTTTTTCTTGAACATTAACTTACCAGATACTGAATAACTGCACAAATTAATAAGCATAACACAAATGAACCTGTTTTTCTTGTTCTCCGAAAGCGAAATATTTCCTGTTGTGCACACCAAACAAGTCAGTACAAGAATAATGAGAAGGCAATAGGCTGCTAAAATATTCACTGCTAGTATTAGTGGAGAGAAATGGTGCACCTGTGCATAAGGAGCGTAAGGGAAATGAATGCAACATGATTATAGTAATTAGTTATTAGCGAAAGTTGTAGCTCAAGATTAATACTTATGTATAACAGGATATTGTAAAAATTAAGTTATGAAATTTTTATTAAAACGTTTCTAATATACCGTTATATTGACTGGGCTGCAAAAATATTCATTGTGGGCCACATGCAGCCCGAGGGCCATGAGTTTGACTTGTTTGGTCTACACCAAAGCTGGTCTTACTTTACACTAAACTCAACACTGCTGTCTGTTTAGTGATGCTGGAAATTAGGACACAAGTGAAAGATGTGATTTTTTTTCCTGGTTTAATTTCCAGATTTTATGTTTTTGTTGTTAATCCTCACCCAAGGATATTTTTTCCATTGATATTTAGAAAGAGTAGAAGGAAGAGAGGGAGAGAGAGAGAGGAGAGACAGAGAGACAGAGAGAGAGACAAAGAGACAGAGACAGAGAGAAACATAAACATGAGAATGACAGAGACACACGGATTGGTTGCCTCCCCCATGTCCCTCAAGTGGGGCTGGAGATTGAACCTGCAACCCAAGTATGTGCCTTTGATTGGGAATCGAACCCTCAATGTTATGGTGTGAGGGCCACTGCTCTAACCACTGAGAACGCTGGTCAGGGCTAACTTCTAGATTTTAAAGAATGGTTTCCTAGTCTAACTATAACCACTCTGTGCATATGCTGGAGAATGATAGGAAATAAGGTTGGACAAATAGAGTGGAGATGAATTATGGAAACCCTTAAAGGTCTGGCACACAATGTTTTTATTTTATATTTATTATTTTTAAAAAAATATATTTTATTGATTTTTTACAGAGAGGAAGGAAGAGGGATAGAGAGTCAGAAACATAGATGAGAGAGAAACATAGGTCAGCCGCCTTCTGCACACCCCCCACTGGGGATGTGCCCGCAACCAAGGTACATGCCCTTGACTGAAACCGAACCTGGGACCTCTCAGTCTGCAGGCCGACGCTCTATCCACTGAGCCAAACTGGCTATGGCTGGCACACAATTTTATAGGTTTGTAAAACTGTTTTTCCTCCTCACCAACTTCACCCTATCTCTGCACCCCACCAAGCAGTCTTGGATTAGCTGAATACTTTTCTTAATTATCTCCTTCATTTTTCATGGGAAGGTCTAGTCATCATTTAAGTTCCTGCTTATTTCCTCACTTCCTTTTCATGTGTTTTTATTCAAAACATTAGTTCTGGCACTGTGCTATAACAGTTCTCCATTTTTAATGTTCCATATGTCATTTTAGCCTAATGAATCCTAAGTAGCTTATCATAAGCAATTCTAAAAAATGTTTGGTTCTAATGTAAGCAATTTAATTTTTTTCCATGTCTTAGAAATCTCAGAAAGATACTGAAGCAAGCTGAAAAAAATGGCTCCCCCAAAGATACCCATATCCTAGTCCCTGGAATCTATCAGATTACTGTATATGGCAGAAAAGGGTCTTCGAAGATGTGATTAAGTTAAGCATCTTGAGATAGGGAAATTTTCCTGGATTATCTGGCTGGGACCCTATTGAAATGATAAAGCAAAAGTAGAGCCAATGTGGCCATTAAGACAGAGATTGAGTGATGCAGCCACCAGCCCAGGAATGCTGGCAGCGGCCGGAAGGGATAAAAGGCAAGGAATGAATTTTCCCCCTAGAGCAGGGGTGGGGCATGTCCGGCCCCAGGCACATAAGGCCCTCGAAATCATTTGGTCTGGCCCTGCCAAGGCATTAGGGGTGAGTTAATGAAATGTTTGACCAAATATAGCAGGCTAATTTGTTTTTTTATTTGCAGATTTTTTTTCTTTATTGATTAAGGTATGTCCTTAGCCCCTCATTGTCGCCCCCCACCCTCCGCTCGTGCCCTCACTCCCCTAATGTCTGTGTCCATTGGTTATGCTTATATGCATGCATACAAGTCCTTTGGTTGATCTCGCTCCCTTTCCCCCACCCTCAGGCTAATTTTTAAGTTGGTAATTTTTTTTGGCCTATGAATGTTGTTATAAATATTCAAATGGCCCTTGGCAAAAAAAAGGTCCCCTCCCTCCCCCCCTGCCCCAGAGCCTCTGACACCTTGCTTTTAGACTTCTGGTCACCAGAACTGTGAGATAATGGTTTCTGTTGTTTTAAGCCACCAAGTTTATGGTAATTTGTTTCAGTGGCCATAGGAAACTAATATAGATTCTTTTTGTTCATTATAAACACCTTGTTCACTGAAGTACAAAGCTGCTATTGCCAGACATTTCATGAAGGCTGTCAATGTTTTAAAAAATGCAATGAAAGGAAAGTACTACTTTCAATAGTGCTTTAAATTAGGAGTAAAGTAGGTCTGATGAGTACTGGAGTCAAGCTTCACTAGGAATCAACCGTTTTAAGTTAATTATTTCAATGAAAGGATGTTCCTTAAAGAAGTAACTTAGTTGATTGTCCACAGCCTGCACATTCCAAAGACTGGGCCCCGCCCTAACTGGTTTGGCTCAGTGGATAGAGCGTCGGCCTGCGGACTGAAAGGTCCCAGGTTCGATTCTGGTCAAGGGCATGTACCTTGGTTGTGGGCACATCCCCAGTAGGGAGTGTGCAGGAGGCAGCTGATCGATGTTTCTAACTCTCTATCCCTCTCCCTTCCTCTCTGTAAAAAAATCAATAAAATATATTTAAAAAAAAAAGACTGGGCCCTGGCTCGGCACCTGGGAGGCAACCTCTAAGCCCTTGGAACATCCTGTCTGATTAGAGTGTCTTTGTTTATCGAGGCCTTGGGCTTCAGCAGACTGTCTATGTCATTTAAGATGGGGCGGGGTGGGGGGGTCCTTGACCACATGTGATGGTACCTCTGGAGGAGCAGGAGACTGGTCCGCCATACCGATACGATGTGCCAGCCCTCACGGGATTCTTTCGACCCTAAGGTTTGGGACCCTCCCTGGTTGGCAATACTCCATGGGTGCTGTCGCCCACCACTGCTGGGAGAATGCAGCACTGTCCACATAACTCCACTAGAAGAGGACAAGTGAAAAATCCTCCTGGTCTCTCCTAGACCCTGCACCAGGCCCCTCTTCCATTGTTGATGTTAATCTGTATCCTTTCACTGCAGTAAATGTAACTGTTGAGATAACAGCTTTGAGGAGTTCTTGTGACTCCTTTTAGCTAATCACTGAACTCGAGAGTGATCTTGGGGAGTCCCAGAACACAGGAGAACTCAACATTAATGTCTGCACAGCTATTCCAGCCACCAGCAGAGCCAGTCCAAGCCCAGAGCCAGGTCAACTGGTTCCATCTATTGACAAAACTCTATTCTTGACCAAACTCTACTCAGGCTCCTCTGATCTCTCTCCTCCCCCAGACCCTGCCTTTTGAGCTTTTTGTGTTTGTGTCTGACAAGTCAATTTAGCCAGAATCCCCCATCCTCAGTATCTGATCATCCTGTGTATCCAATCAGGGTCCTCATCCTCGCCCAAGGTGATGTCTGGTCACCCAGGCCTGCCTTCAGCAACAATCCTGTTAGATCCATTTAGCCATGATCTCCCCTGATCCCTGAGGTTTCTTCTGAGTAATTTTCTTTTTTTTTTCTTTCTTTCTTTCTTTCTTTCTTTCTTTCTTTCTTTCTTTCTTTCTTTCTTTCTTTCTTTCTTTCAAGATTATCTTTTGGATTTTATTTACTTAAAGCTATTTGTCTTTTTTCCCCCCTTGTTCACAAAAGACTTTATTATCTAGTGATGCATACTGAGAACATACTGAAATTTGCATGGCCACTTCACATGCAGTAGAACAATCTTCACTTTACAATAAGCGAGTGTCAACTGTTTTGTGCAATAGACAACACTTTAAAGTCACATTCTTAAAGAAAGCTTCATTTACAGAAGAAATAAAGGTAAAGAAGCAATTACCGCTTTTAAAAAGCAGCTGCTTTGTTCAAGAGTGGAAGGTTTATGCCTGTATTTAAAGACAACATATCACAAATAATGAAAACAATGAACAAATGAAAAGCACTTTTACCATAAAGCAGTACACTTTCAAAATGAAAGTCCTCATATTTAGAAGTTACATAGACAAATAGTTATACAAATAGTTAAAAATTTCATTAAGTTGTCTATGTAACTTCTAAATATGAGGACTTTCAGAATTATGCCTCAACATTTGTACTTTAGTAAATGAAAACTATGCATTGTTTCTATCTCACTAGGAACTGCAATTAACAAAATGTGTATAAAGTCTACAGCAAGTTGATTTTTAAAAATTAAAGTTAATAAGAAACAGTACACTGAAGGCACTCTATTCATCAAGCGCATACTCTTCCAATTTTAAATGTGATGACCAGAACAGAAATTGTAACTATGTCACAGTTGCAATGCCAAAAAATAAAACAAGATCAGGTATCACACATGCAGGGAATTCTGCCACAAAGCTAATATTCCTCATTTGTCAATTGTTCTGCCGGGGTCCAGTCCTAGCAGTCCAGGGGTTCCCAAAGGTGTGGACGGAGTCGGCGAAGAATGAAGGACACAGAGACAGCGTTCAGATGATCAGCATAGTCAGGTTCTCTATTCTCCTGTTACATCTGTATTTATACTATTTGATCCTATAAGCATGCCTCTATAGTCACATCATGGTATGTTTTGGGTCCTCCCTTGACCTTCTACAGTTCCTTGTTTCATGTCCATAGTTTCTTATCTGACCTTTGCCATAAATCCCATCTCCATCTCGTTCTGTTGAGTTTAATCCTATCCATTCTATTCCAAAGGTTAGGGCTAGTTATCTCCATTCCAAGGTCACTACTCTACTGTTCTGTTAAGCTACAAGGAAGTAACTGAGGGAGATTATCCTAAGTAAAGATTATGTAGCTTAAGCGTGATTGGTCGTAGTTAAGGTGATTAACTACCCGCCTGGCACTTAGTTAAGGGGTTTTACTGATTTATTCCCTTCCTTAGTCCTGTTAATTCCTAACTCCAGGGAAAAATCCCCACCTGGGGAAACAACCTTTCTCGGGGAGGTGGCCCTGGTTAGAACACATAACACCAAGAAGGGGAGCAAACATATTAAGAACAGTATGCCAGGTCCCTTGAAACATATGCTGTGCAGATGTTTCTTCCCTGCAGCGACTGTGTCAAGCAGCAAGGATGGACCCGCTTCCGGCATTGTTCCAATAAAATAACATCTTAAAACACCAGTGATGTTGATGGTTTAGCTTACCTTCAGTGTACTGAATGTTGTACACAACCTGCTTTAAAAGAGGAGACCATCCCTGCAGGCAGGCTCAAGAAGGAACAGACCCCTTTTGGCAATGACTACACCAAGGGCATGCTGCTGTGGCCTACACACACACACCTAGGAAAATGTAAATATAAACAGCATTTATTCTGGCCATTTTACCTGAAGACCAAAATGAAGCCAAGTCTGCTAAAAATAAATCGACCACCCAGCATTACTACTTATTTTATAACAAGATGCTTTTGTCTTTTATGTGAACTGCAACCATATACATTAGCACTATAATTTTGTGCAGTCTTGGCAGTTAAAACAGTTCTACAGTGAAATTTCACATAAGACACAAAACAGATTAACTATCATTTCTAAAAGAAACATCACTCTTGGTGTTAATTCAAATATATCATGCTTCCTCAAATTTGATGGAGAGATATTTATAAGTTTATTTACATTAATAAACTGCTGTGAAATTTCTTCAGTCTTTGTATTTAATTACTCAAACCATTGGAGCTTCTTCATCTCATTTAAATTTTTTCCTGGATAAAGACATGCTGTAGGGCCTGGTTGATGCTAATCCGTTTAGCTTGGTCCAACATTAGGATCTGGTCCAACAAGTCCTTTAGCTGGTGTACTTTTTTACGTTGGTCTTCAGGAAGTCGCTGGCATCCAATCAAGTCAGCCAACAGGTCCTTAGTTGGATTAATGGTGCTCATGACAGTAACTTTCTCCTTCTCTGTTACTTTATCAACTTCTATGTACATGAAATTGAGGTTTTGATCAAAATGTTGGTCTTTGAATACACCTTTCCGAATCATCTTATTTGGCATCTTTCCTTTGAGATCCATGGCGAGCTTCAACATATGGTTGTTGGTTTTGCCAGGAAATAAAATGTTTCCAGTATAGAGTTCATATAAGGTACAACCTACAGACCACATATCTATGCCATAGTCATAGCTTTTACCTATAATGATTTCAGGAGCACGATAAAATCGACTGACAAGATAAGGAGTTATGTCATTATCCGCAACATGTGAAGCCGACCCAAAATCACAGAGCTTTAAAATAGTTTTTGATTCATTAACCAGGATATTGTCTGGCTTGATATCAGCATGTAGGATATTGCATCTTTTAAGGAGTTTCAATGCCAAGAACAACTGCTGACTATAGGACCTTACAGCTGTAATATGAAGACCAACATCCTTACCATATTTTTTTAACACCTCTCGTAAATTCATGCTGAGCGGCTCAAATACGAGACAGAGATGCTGTTTGTGATAAAAGTGTCTGAAGAGCCGCAAACAATGAAATTTGTCATCAGGATCAGCATCATTAAGTTTTTTCAAGAATTCGAGTTCTTTTAAACCAGTTTTCTGCATGAGTTCATTGTTTCTGATGATCTTTACAGCCACTTCTTGGTTGGCTCTTGCAATATCTCTGGCTCGTATGACATTACTGAATACACCTTGACCAGTGTAGCCATACACATTATAGCGTTCATCTAACACTTCACCTATGTTCACACGATAATAGCCTTCTGCATCAGTCCAGTTATCCCTGAGGTTAGGATTCTCTTTAAAGTCTTTTCCAATGCCAGCAGCCTGAAGACGAGCACTATCAAAATATGCAGCAAACATATCATCAGATTCTGTAAACATATCAAGTGCCAACAGCTTTTTCTGAGCTGACCCATTATTTGGTTCAACTGTCATTAGATTATGCTTGGCTTTTACCGAGGCCTCAAATGTGTCAACATTTTCCCGTTCATACTCTTTAACATCAGCAGCTACCCTTTCCAAAATGTCATCTGGAGAAGGTGACCGTGTACGAGTACTACTCTGGGGGCTGCTGGGTTCAGATGGCACAGACCTACTGCTATCGTCAGCAAGATATTTATATTTCTGAACAATTGCTTGCCTTTGTATTCTTCTCTGCTCTATTAGGGCCTCTTCATCTTCTTCTACATCAAAGTCTTCGAGGTTATCTTCAGATGAAGATTCTCGCTCAACTTTCATTCCTTCAGAAAGACTTCCTTTAAATTTATCCTCCTTTACTTTGCTTCTGCTTCTACTTCTACGACCACCTTCTGAAGGTGATCGAGACTGCCTTCTCAAACGTGATCTGCTTCTCCGACCTCTGTCCCTTCTCCGGGGGAACCTGCTTCTTCCTCTAGGAGACCTGCTCCACCTGAGTGGGGAGCGAGACCTCCTTCTAATGGGAGACCTACTTGCTCTTCTTCGGGTTGGAGACCACTTACTTATCGGGCTGGCATCTTTTGATTTCTCGCGTCTACTGAGGATATCGTCACGAGGTCGTGCCCTTGGGGAAGAAAGTCGTCTCCTTTCTGGTTCTCTTCGTTTTCTTTCCAAGGATCGGCTCTCAGCTCTTCTACTGGGAGACGGATTTCGAGAAGGTGACTTGCTCTGCTTAGACCTTCTATCATTTAAAAGTGGAGATCTACTTCTTCTGGATTTATCCCGTTGTTTTGGAGAGAAACTTCTTCTTTTAGGACTACGACCAGGTCTTCTACTGGGTGATCTATTTTCTTTCCCAGTAGAAGCATCTTTAGAGGGAGATTTAATTGGCTTCTTTTCTTTATCAGTTTCAGACCGTTTTGACTTTCTCTCTTTGGACCGTGACCTTCTGTCTTTGGATTTACCTCTTAAGTCAACTGGCGATCTGGATTTTTTGCCTCGATCACGACTTCTTTCATTTATAACTGGGGACTTTTTTCTATCTTTTGACTTACTTTTATCTTGAATCTTAACCTTGTCATCAGTAGGACATCTGGCCTTCCCAATTTTCTCTTGAGATCGCCTTCTAAGGGTAGGAGATTTTGACTTTCTTGCTTGATCTTGAGACTTACTTCTTTTGGATGGACTTTTAGACTTTTTCCTCTCCTTTGATTTGCTCCTAGTTGTCTTCTCTTTAACAATTCCCTTACTTTTCTTTTTATCAGACCTATGTCTAGTCCGTTCTTTGGATCTGCTTTTACTTCGCCTTTTTGTACTATTTTTATTGTCCATAAGTTCAAGTTTCCCCTTGGTAGTGGAAGATCTAGTACTAGACCTATTTCCATTTCTTGCCTTTTCATGAACTTCCCCCTCTTCTTCAGAGCCAGATTCATAACCTTGTAATATGAGCCCCATCCCTGACCGGACGTTTCCTTCCATGAACTCATTATCAAGTTCAGCTTTAATCAAGGCTCTCTGTTTTTCCAAGTCTTCCAGCAACGCTAAATCAAGTTTAGTTCTTTTTGCCGGAGACAAACCTTCTTTGTCAGAAGCATCTACAACCTCTTTTCTTTTGCGTTTCTTATGTTTACGTTTTTTATCCTTGTCTTCTTCTAAGGAATGTCTATGCTTCTTATGTTTACTTCTGTGTTTATGCTTCTTTTTCTTGTGACGACTGTGCTTATTTTGAGATTGGTCTTCTGATACTTCTCCATTTTCTTCGTGTACACTCTTTCCAGAATTATCAGCATCTTCCATCTCCGACTGTTCCTGCAGATGCGGAGGCTTGGCGCCAGCGGCCATCTGGAACTGCCTGACTCCTCGGAGGCGGAGGCGGGTGGCGGTGGAGGCGAGTGTCAGGGGAGGAAGAGGGAGCAGAGCCGGCGCGCGTGTGCTAAGCACGCAGAGCACTGTGGAGCTCTGAGTCCGCTCTAAGAATCCAGATATATTGCTGGGGTCCAACCCCAGCAGGTCCAGGGGTCCCCAAAGGTGTGGATGGAGTCGGCGAAGAAGGAATGACACGGAGACAGCGTTCAGTTGATCAGCAGCCTACCCAGGATCTCCAGCCAAGTTCTGGTCTGGATCTCCAGCGAAGTTCTGCCTTTTATTGTCTTGTTACATCCGTATTTATACCAGTTGATTTTAATCCTGTCAATTTCTATTGCAAAGGTTAGGGCGTTTCTTATCTCCATTCCAGGGAGTAAAGATTATGTAGCTTAAGCGTGATTGTTTGTAGTTAAAGTGATTAACTACCCGCCTGGCACTTAGTTAAGGAGTTTTATCCCCTCCCTGACTTCAGGGAAAAATCCCTACCTGGGGAAACAACCTTTCTCGGAGAGGTGACCTTGGTTAAAACACACAGCACTAAGAAGAGCAAACATATTAAGAACAGTATGCTATATACGCCAGGTCCCTTGAAACATATGCTGTGCAGATGTTTCTTTCCTGCAGCGACTGTGTCAAGCAGCAAGGATGGACCGGCTTCCAGCAATATATAAGTGCATGGGGAAAGGGCGGGCTAGTGAGCGTGATGACGCAACTTCCCCGGAGGGGGTGGGGCACGAGGAGCAGTGGGCGGTGCCTGTTGAGGGTTGGAGGTCGAGTGACAGGCATGAGCTCTCTTGTCTTTCTTTTTTTTTTTTAAAAAACATATTTTTATTGATTTCAGAGAGGAAGGGAGAGGGAGAGAGAGAGAAACATCAATGATGAGAGAGAATCGTTGATCGCCTGCCTCCCGCACGACCCCTACTGGGGATTGAGCTCCCAGCTCAGACCGGGAATGGAATTGTGACCCCCTGGTTCATAGATCAACACTCAACCACGGAGCCAGCGGGGCCACTGAGTAATTTTCTATCCACTGACTTCCATCCTGCTCCTTGGCTATAATGGTCACTTTCCTCTGTTATATTGGAGCCGTGCCCCATCCTCTCCCTTATTCAAAAGCCCCATTATTGTAGTCCCCCTCCATAGTCTTCCTCACTGCTCTTTAACAAATGTTGTGAATAATGCTTTCTTTACTACTACCCACCCAGCCTTCTCGGTTGTAAATTTATTCTTGTGTGCCATGAAGGAGGTAGACTCAAAGACTCCGAGGTCCTTCCCGCTTTAAAGTACTAGGGATATGGCAAAACGAGTACATTTTGTGCCACAGAGTCACCCAGACATTGCCCGGCATGGCATTTTGCTAACTGACTAATGAAAGTAGAAGTCAACCCACTGGAGATAAAATAGTTCCCCTTCTCGGATTAACTGGAGGGCACCGTGGTGGGAGCAGCTGTTGGCTTTGTTTTTTGCAGACTCGCTCAGGGGCCTTTTATGCACCTCTGATCTGATATTGTGGGTACAAAGTTTCTACTTTGAGGTAGGATCGTAGCACCGCAGCCTCTGCCTGATGCCAGGAAAATCTAGCAGAATATAAAATGTGGAAAAACAGTCCTCATCAGTATGCAAGCCTTTCGAATTAATAGCACCTGAATTATGCACTGTGCTCATAAATGTATAATTGAAAATGCTCTGGGCTTTTTCCTCTCTTCTGGAAAGGGAATTTCCTCAGGTAAACCTGGTTTGTGAGCAAGACCTTCACCCATAGGTTTTGATTACCACCACCCAGCCTTTATCACTAGGAACTAGTTAAGTTTGGGTCTTCCAAAAGGCAGACAATATTTAAATCTATTTGAAAGTATTCTCACTTTGAAGTGTGTTTCTCTGAAGACTTGGAAGCCAGAACACACAGAGGGAGCTGACCAGGAAATGGTGAGATCAGCAGCAATCAGTCGAGGAGGAATTCACCTGTGAACTCCATGTCTCAGGCAAATCATCCGCCTTCCTGGGTTTGTTTCCGGATAGAAAATGGCAATGCCTATTCTGAATCATTCCTGAAATGCACAGGAAACAGCAAGTAGTGAGGGAGATTCAGAGTTGCATGTTGGCCATATGGCTCAATGATCTACAGTTTCCCTTTCCTTCTTCTTTTTCTAGGATGACTGTTTCAGCCATGTGCTTTATGGATTCCAGCAGGGTTCCTCTGGACAGGCAAAATTGTTCCCTTGAATTGGAAAGCTGTAAGTCTTACTTCCTGTCACAATACACACCCACGTCCTGAGCACACCATCACAAACTTGAATGGAAATAAGCATGCTCTTAAGGGTTTAATAAATGTATTTATTAAAAATATGTAGTTGCTTTCTTTTTCCTTTACAAGGATGATGGCAAATTGTCACTCGAAAAGATCCAGGAAAAAAAAGTTATGCTTTCATAATAATATATTTTTCGGTTTCCACAATGGTTATAAAGAAACAGCTCCCTATATAGGGGCATTCTTGTGAATGTTATTTGCAGGAAGCTGGTCCATCCTTGCTGCTTGACACAGTCACTGCAGGGAAGAAATATCTGCACAGCATATGTTTCAAGGGACCTGGTGTAAATGGCATGCTGTTCTTAATATGTTTGCTCCCCTTCTTAGCGCTATGTGTTTTATTTATTTATGTTTTTAAAAAAAATATATTTTATTGATTTTTTACAGAGAGGAAGGGAGAGAGATAGAGAGCTAGAAACATCAATGAGAGAGAAACATCGATCAGCTGCCTCCTGCACATCTCCTACTGGGGATGTGCCTGCAACCCAGGTACATGCCCTTGACCGGAATCGAACCTGGGACCTTTCAGTCTGCAGGCTGACGCTCTATCCACTGAGCCAAACCGGTTTTGGCAAGCACTATGTGTTTTAACCAAGGTCACCTCTCCGAGAAAGGTTGTTTCTCCAGGTGGGGATTTTTCCCTGGAGTTAGGGAGGGAATAAAATCCCTTAACTAAGTGCCAGGCAGGTAATTAATCACTTTAACTACGAACAATCACACTTAAACTACATAATCTTTACTTAGGATAATCTCCTTCAGTTACTTCCTTGTAGCTTAATAGAACAATAGAGTAACCTTGGAATGGAGATAAGAAACACCCTAACCTTTGGAATAGAATAGATAGGATTAAAATCAACTGATATATAACACCAGAACTTGGCTGGAGATCCTGGCTAGAGATCCTGGCTAGGCTGCTGATCAACTGAACGCTGTCTCCGTGTCATTCCTTCTTCGCCGACTCCATCCACACCTTTGGGGACCCCTGGACCTGCTGGGGTTGGACCCCAACACCCAAGTACCCATCAGTAGACCCCGAACCCTGAACCACACGGAACGTGGAGGGAAAATACATCAACAACAATAGGGGAAGTTTTCCGTCTTTGGATAAGGATTGCTGCACTGGACAACTTCCGAATATTACTCACAATGTCATCGAACAGGAGTCAGAATCCCCATGAACTGAAGCAGAATGGCCTTGACCAGATCTGGGATGACCTCAGAGCCGGAATCCAGCAGGTGTACTCCAGACAGAGTATGGCAAAATCCAGATACATGGAGCTCTACACTCATGTTTATAGCTATTGCACGAGTGTTCACCAGTCAAACCAAACTCGAGGGGCTGGCGTCCCTCCTTCTAAATCGAAAAAGGGGCAAGTGCAATTTGTTGGCTTGGAGTTATACAAACAACTTAAAGAATTTTTGAAGAATTACTTGACAAATCTTCTTAAGGATGGAGAAGACTTGATGGATGAGAGTGTACTGAAGTTCTACACTCAGCAGTGGGAAGATTACCGGTTTTCCAGCAAAGTTCTGAATGGAATCTGTGCCTACCTCAATAGATATTGGGTTCGCCGTGAATGTGATGAAGGACAAAGAGGAATATATGAAATCTATTCTCTCGCATTGGTGACTTGGAGAGATTGTCTATTCAGGCCCTTGAACAAACAGGTAACCAATGCTGTTTTAAAACTGATTGAAAAGGAAAGAAATGGTGAAACCATCAATACAAGACTGACTAGTGGAGTTGTACAGTCTTATGTGGAATTGGGGCTGAATGAAGATGATGCATTTGCGAAGGGTCCTACGTTAACAGTGTATAAAGAATCCTTTGAGCCTCAGTTTTTGGCTGATACAGAGAAATTTTATACCAGAGAGAGTACTGAATTCTTGCAGCAGAGCCCAGTTACTGAATACATGAAAAAGGCAGAGGCCCGTCTGCTCGAGGAGCAACGGAGAGTGCAGGTCTACCTCCACGAAAGCACTCAGGACGAGCTAGCGAGGAAGTGCGAGCAGGTGCTCATCGAGAAGCACCTGGAGATTTTTCACACAGAGTTTCAGAACTTGCTGGATGCTGATAAAAACGAAGATTTGGGTCGCATGTATAATCTTGTATCTCGAATCCAGGACGGCCTAGGAGAACTGAAAAAACTTTTGGAGACACATATTCATAATCAGGGTCTTGCAGCAATTGAAAAGTGTGGAGAAGCTGCTTTAAATGATCCCAAAATGTACGTGCAGACAGTGCTGGATGTTCATAAAAAGTACAACGCCCTGGTCATGTCAGCATTCAATAACAATGCGGGCTTTGTGGCCGCCCTGGACAAGGCTTGTGGGCGCTTCATTAACAACAATGCTGTCACCAAGATGGCTCAGTCGTCCAGTAAGTCCCCCGAATTGCTGGCTCGATACTGTGACTCCTTGTTGAAGAAGAGTTCCAAGAACCCAGAAGAAGCAGAGCTAGAAGATACACTCAGTCAAGTGATGGTTGTCTTCAAGTACATAGAGGACAAGGATGTGTTCCAGAAGTTCTATGCGAAGATGCTGGCCAAAAGACTCGTGCACCAGAACAGTGTGAGCGATGATGCCGAAGCAAGCATGATCTCCAAATTAAAGCAAGACTGTGGGTTTGAGTATACCTCTAAACTTCAGCGGATGTTTCAGGACATTGGCGTGAGCAAAGATTTAAACGAACAGTTCAAAAAGCACCTGACAAATTCAGAGCCACTGGACTTGGACTTCAGTCTCCAGGTGCTGAGCTCCGTCTCGTGGCCCTTCCAGCAGTCCTGCACGTTTGCCTTGCCGTCAGAGCTGGAACGTAGCTACCAGCGATTCACTGCTTTCTACGCTAGTCGTCATAGCGGCAGGAAGCTGACGTGGTTGTACCAACTCTCCAAAGGAGAGCTGGTCACAAACTGCTTCAAGAACAGATACACTTTGCAGGCATCTACATTCCAGATGGCAATCCTGCTTCAATACAACACAGAAGATGCTTACGCGGTGCAGCAGCTGACGGACAGCACTCAAATCAAAATGGACATTTTGGCACAAGTCCTACAGATTTTATTGAAGTCGAAGTTATTGGTCTTGGAAGATGAAAATGCAAATGTGGATGAGGTGGAATTGAAGCCAGATACCTTAATAAAATTATATCTTGGTTATAAAAATAAGAAATCAAGGGTTAACATCAATGTGCCAATGAAAACCGAACAGAAGCAGGAACAAGAAACTACACACAAAAATATTGAAGAGGACCGGAAGCTGCTGATCCAGGCGGCGATTGTGAGGATCATGAAGATGCGGAAGGTCCTGAAGCACCAGCAGCTGCTTGGGGAGGTGCTCACTCAGCTGTCCTCACGGTTCAAGCCACGGGTCCCGGTCATCAAGAAATGCATTGATATTCTGATCGAGAAAGAATATTTGGAGCGAGTTGATGGTGAAAAGGACACCTACAGTTACTTGGCTTAACCCTTGTAGAGGGTCTGACTGTACCACCGTGGCCAATGTACCTGGTGGGCAGGATGACGACCAGTTCCTAGCAGCTGCCTGCACCACTGGCCTCCCTTTTTAAACTGAGACCAAGACTCCCAGCAGCCGGTCTCATGCACATCAGAACTGCTCAGGACCGATACATTTCAAGTCTGTAAATATGGACACCGGCGCCATTTAACCTAATTTAAGAACAGAGGAGAATGAACCGTCATGCTGAGGGCTGCATGCTACTGCATCTAGATCAATACATCGGCTACGTGCTAACAGCTGCCTCCGTCTCCGCAGCACTGAGTGTTGGCCGCACTTTGAGAGGAATCTGAATGGACCCGCGTGTAATCTGCTCTGAAAACCATTTGTATAGTGTGTTTCATTTTTTAATGTGTGAAATAAAGAAAATGAAAGGATTTCTGTAAAAAAATAAATAAATAAAATCAACTGGTATAGACCTAGCCGGTTTGGCTCAGTGGATAGAGCATCAGCCTGCAGACTGAAGGGTCCCAGGTTCGATTCCAGTCAAGGGCATGTACCTTGGTTGTGGGTATATCCCCAGTAGGGGGTGTGCAGGAGGCAGCTGATTGATGTTTCTCTCCCATCAATGTTTCTAACTCTCTTTCCCTCTCCCTTCCTCTCTGTAAAAAATCACTAAAATATTTTTTTTAAAAAAATCAGCTGGTATACATACAGATAACATGACAATAAGCACAGAACTTGGCTGGAGATCCTGGCTAGAGAACCTAGCTAGGTTGCTGATCAACTGAACGCTATCTCCCTGTCATTCCTTCTTCGCCAACTCCGTCCACACCGTTGGGAACCCCTGGACCTGCTGGGGTTGGACCCCAACAGTTAGTAATGGAAACTGACAAAAGACAAAGACTTTCCGAATTTGGAAAACTCTGGAATTTATGTTCTCATATGAGTCACAGTCTTTCATTAAGTGCACTTGGGTTCCCCTCTAAGAACCAGCTGTAGACATAGGTTCCCTAATCAGAGCCCTGTCAAGGACATCTGAGCCAGCTCCTGTCAATCACTTTCACCGATCAGCTATTTTTGATATGACATCTTAAAACTGATTGCACTTTTTCATAATGAGGCTACAAGCCTCCTGTTCGCTTCAGCTGCCTGGCTGCTGGCCGCCATCTTGGTTGGCAGTTAATTTGCATATCACCCTGATTAGCCAATGGGAAGGGTAGCGAAGTTATGATTAATTACCATGTTTCTCTATTATTAGATAGGACTAGAGGCCTGGTGCATGAAATTTATGCACGGGCACAGTCTCTAGGCCTGACCCAAGATTGAAGCATGAGCGTCTGGTGTGGAAAGGCAGACTCCAGATGACCTCTGCGCCCTGGGCTGCACCTGGGGCCCTGCGTGCCCCCCTCTGCCTGAGTCATGGCGCCCGAGTCCCCACGAGAAGATGTGGTATGCGTGGCTAGACGCTGTGGGCTGGGGCACAGTGTGGGCCTCTGGGCTGCCCAGCAGCTTTGCATGGAAGCTGCAGGGCAGCACTCTCTCCCAGCCAGCCTCACAGACTGGCTCTTGCACAAATCCATGGGGAGCCCAACTGGCCCGGAAGAGGCTATGTGGGCGTGGGGCGGGCTCCTCATGGGCACCTGGTACCTGAGTGCGGGGGCTTTCCCGGCACGTGAGCCTGGTGTTCCAGGGGAAGGTTCCAGGGGGAGTGAGAGTGAGCTCTGTGGACACCCCACATTCTCACTGCACCTCTGTTCTGTCACCTCTGCCCCCAAGTAGCCACCGGGAGGTCGCAGCCCCCTGCCTGAGTGCCATGGGAGGTTGGTCGCCACCACTCACCCCCAGTTCCCTGTCCCAGCCCAGGGCCCAACCCGGATCTGGTGACCAGAGCCTGGCAGCCACCAGTCGCCTTCTGCAGGGAAATTGGGCCCCCGCTTGCACCCGCCTTAGCCTGGCACCGTCTGCTTGCCTGCTCCACCATCCTGTCACAGTCCCACTCTCATCGGGGTTTGTCGGGGCTGGCAGCGCCTCCACTGTTTCCTATTGCCAGCGCTGTGTCACCAACGCCTGCCATATTTCACGCTGCCCCCTGGTGGTCATCACACATTATAGCGAGCGGTCAAACTCCCAAGAGGGGAACATTTGCATATTAGGCTTTTATTATATAGGATAAAACTAAAGAGGTCTAGAGACCGGAGTCAGGTCAGTGGACTGTGAAGCACTGCTGTGATGCCATTCAATGCACACAGCCATGGTAGCATTTTAAGTCATCATGTGGGCATAAGAAAAACCTCCACACTATGGTAGGGCCTAATTTTTCGAGATTTTTTATTTTTGTAGCTGTGGGTATTGGCAACCATGTTTTGGTGCCTAACATATACATGGCATTGGGCCAGGCACTGAGGATACAGAGACCTCATAAGAGCTTATTCTAAGAATATTATATTCTTGTTTCAGATGCCTACAATGAAGAGGATCTCATGCTTTACCGGAGAAGTGGAAACAGGTGCTTAAATACCGATGAGCATATTTCCCTTTCTCGTTAATCACTGAGGAGTTCAGTGCATCCAGTGGATTTGCCTTCCACAGCAGCACAGGTGAAGTCTTTTATGTGGACAATTCATAAACACTAGTGAATTACAGTGCACCCACTGTCCACAGAGCAACATGTGAAGAGACCTGAATCCAAACAAGGGTCCCATTTGGCCAATAATATCTTTTTACAGGTGGCCAGCTCCACCTCTGGTACATCATACCTTTCTTCATGTAGCCGCTTCTAACAGAAGCCTTGCTTACATTCTTGGCCCCTGTAGAATACTCTCAATGCAGCAGAGTGATCTTTTGAAAACATAAAGATCACAATTCTTGCCCTAGCTGGTTTGGCTCAGTGGATAGCGCATCGGCCTGCTGACTGAAGGGTCCTGAGTTCAATTCCAGTCAAGGGCACATGCCTGGGTTGTGGGCTTGATCCCCAGTAGGGGGCGTGCAGGAGGCAGCCTATCAATGATTCTGTCTCATCATTGATGTTTCTATCTCTCTCTCCCTCTCTCTTCCTCTCTGAAATCAATAAAAATATATTTAGAAAAGAAATCACAATTCTTTCCTAGCTCAAAACCACCCTGTGCTTTTCCATCACACATCAAAATTCAGGCTTCTGAGCAGGACCAGCTGTCTCTGACCTTGCCCACTACCCCTAACCCTTCACCACACCCTACTCTCCCCATACTGGCCTCCTTGGACAGAGGTTATCAAGTTGTTATCTAAAAACCTGCCTCATTAAGAGAGAAACCAAAATTTACATTACAGAGAAGCTCAAGGACTTTCTGGGATCAACAGCTATTCAGTTATTTAGATCCTGAAGAAGTGCTCTGCTTTACTCTAGTACTAGTTTCCCGGTGCATGGAATTTGTGCACATTAAAAGGGAATTAATTAGAGGAAATATTTTAATATTGCTATTTTTCCCTTTGCTGGGAGCAGGGACGCGAGCCTCACATCCCAGGGCCCATTGCCAGGGTTGGGGACGTGAGCCTCATATCCCCAGGCAGTGCAAGTCTCCGCCCACCAATGCTGCAAGTCCCCATCCACCCGCTCCTTCTGCGCAGGCAGCCTGCTGATCGGTCATTACATGATGGTGTCCCAACCAATTTGCATATTACCCTATTATTAGATAGATGTGTCTACATTGCTTGGGATTCTGTGCTATGCAGATAATACTATTCATAATAATAATACTGATTGCTCTTTTGATTTTATAAGTAACACTAGAGGCCCGGTGCACAAAAATTTGTGCACTGGGGGCGGGGAGGTCCCTCAGCCCGGCGTGTGCCCTCTCGCAGTCTGGGACCACTTGGGGGATGGCCACCTGCTTGCTTAGGCCTGCTCCCCGGGGGATTGGGCCTAAGCTGGCAATCAGACATCCCTCTGGCAGCCCGCCAGCCCTCGGGGGATGTCCACTTGCCAGTGGGGAGCAGACCTAAGCTGCACTCGGACATCCTTAGCGCTGCTGAGGAGGCAGGAGAGGCTCCCACCACCACCGCTGTACTGGCAGCCATCAGCCTGGCTTGTGGTTGAGCAGAGCTCCCCCTGTGGGAGCGCACTGACCATCAGGGGGCAGCTCTTGCATATCTCGCTGATTAGCCAATGGGAAGCGTAGTGAAGATACAGTCAATTACCCTTTTTGTCTTTTATTAGATAGGATAGTTTTTTGTTTTGATCATTCATATATCTCTAGCACATAGTAAATGCTCAATACCTATGGTTGAATGAATGAATAAATGGTAGATAATTTGAAAAGAATTTAGAGAAGTTTAAAGAAAAAGCCTTTGTAATTCCACCTTATAGAGATAACTATGTTGTTATTTTGATACTAGGGGCCCAGTGCACGAATTCATGCACCTTGAAAGGAACTGTGGGCCCCGAGGCTGTGGTAGGTACAGGGGTGGGTCTCGGCCCATCCTCCGCACCCCCACCCACTCCCTCCTGGCCCATCCCCCAGTCCCATATCTGCCATCAGCCCCACTCCCACCACTGCTGCTCCCACATGCTGACAGTGCCAGCCCCACTCGCACCCGCTGACAGCATGGAGTGATTGGGGCCGGCGCCAGCAGCGGGTGCGAGCAAGGCCAGCACCGTCAGCGGGTGAAAGCGGTGGCTGCTGTCTCAATCGCCCCTCAGAGCAGGGGGAGGTGGAGAAGCCCTTAGTGGCGGTTGGAGCCAGCAGCTGCCACTTGCTCCCGCTGACAGTGCAGAGCGATCGGGACTGGCACCGGATGCCCTCAGTGGGTGCGAGCGGCGGCTCCAGTGCCGGCTGCAGGTGTAAGCGGTGCTAGTGTCAGCAGTGGGTGTGAGCGGGGCATCACCAGCCGTGGGTGCAAGCAAGGCCAGTGCCATCAGCGGGTGCGAGTGGCAACTGCTGTCCTTGATTGCCCATCAGGAGCCAGGGGAGTTGGAGAAGCCCTCAGGGGCCATCAGGGCCGGCAGCTGTCGCTCACACCCCCTGATGGCTCCAAGTGATCAGGACCGGCACCAGGCACTGGCAGCAGGTGCAAGCACTGCGTGTGACCACGCGTGCAGAGCAAAGAATTTTCAGTAACCACCAGAGGCTCACCCTGATGACAGCCACTGGTGCCCTGCCTTGGTCTGGTGCCCCCACTCACCTGCTTCACCATCCCACTGTGGCCAATGCCTGCCATGTTCCGCACATGTCCCCTGGTGGTCAGCACACGTCATAGTGACCTGTTGTTTGGTTGTTCGGTTGTTTTGCCGTTTGGTCTATTTTCACATTAGCCTTTTATTATATAGGATATTTTTTGCTCCTTCTCCTCCTTCTCCTCTTTCTTTGTCTTTCTTAATATAAGTAAATATATGTTTTTAATCAGTATTTTGAAGCTCTTAGTCTTCAATTAAATCAATATTTAAACAAAAATGCATGCAATGAACAATGATACATATTAAAGTATAGTTTACAGCTTTTTCCACTTTAGTTTTGTTATGATGAAATAACTTTGGCACATAAAATATTATAAATAATACTTTGACGCTATTAAAATGTGATGCTACATACGAAGCATAGAAATCCAAAAGTATTGTTTCCTACACATAATATATATAATATATATAATAATAATAGCAATGAAATTTCTTCTGATTTGGAAGCATAAATATCCATTAGTATATATTCAACTATCCTCTTAAAAATTCTAATATCACCAATAAGCCATTCCATTGACTCCAGTATTACTTTATTTGTGCTCTTCAGACTTCTTGAGTCCTACCAAGCAAGTCTGATACTAGTTGACCTTTACCTTCTTTTGGTTATATTTTAGAGTCTTTCTAAAGCAAGACAGAATACTTACACTGAAAAGCACACTGCACAGAAATAAGCTTTTAAGAATTTTTAAATGCACTGAAATTTTTAATATTCTAGTGTACCTACATTTTTAAGAAACATAATTTTGCTTTTTTAAAGAAGAAAAAGGCTGAAACCGGTTTGGCTCAGTGGATAGAGCGTCGGCTTGCGGACTGAAAGGTCCCAGGTTCGATTCCGATCAAGGGCATGTACCTGGGTTGCGGGCACATCCCCAGTGGGAGATGTGCAGGAGGCAGCTGATCGATGTTTCTCTCTCATCGATGTTTCTAACTCTCTATCTCTCTCTCTTCCTCTCTGTAAAAAATCAATAAAATATAAAAAAAAAGAAGAAAAAGAATTAGATTAAAATGTACCTGGTTTGTGTAGCATTAATAGTTATCCACAATATCTCCCTTGGCCTCACCTTCCCCGAAGAGCCATGGGCCAGAGAAACATTTCTCTTGCCTGGTTGCCCCCACCAAAAAAAAAAAAAAAAAAATAAAAAAATCAGGAATTTACACATGAAAAAAGAATCTTGTTATCTACATTTATTTCAAGACTTAAAACCATACATAGTAACAGTGTCTTTCTTTATGAAGTACTTTTACAGCTTTTCCCTTTTAGTCCCCAATAAGTATATGAAGCTGTAACATCAGAGACGCTGTTATTCTACTCTACAGCCATAACTAAAACTCTTAATTGCGCACAATAAATGCCAAAGAGGGGCTATGCCATCCTATATAATAAAAGCCTAGGTGGCGTCACACCCCCGTGCGACAGAGTCACAAGATGGCCACCACAGACGGCCACGCACACAGTGGAGGCGGGGCCCAGTGGCCGCTGCGTGCGGTGAGGCCTGGGGGTCCTGCAGCTCTCCACGGTGGGGAGGAGGTTAGTCCCGGTGGAGGAGGCGGGTTGAGGCAGGGGAGGGCAGCTGTGGGAGATCAGGCCGGCAGGGGAGCAGTTAGGCATCAGTCAGGCCAGCAGGGGAGCGGTTAGGGGGTGACCAGGATGGCAGGCAGGCGAGCAGTTAGGAGCTGGCAGTCCTGGAATGTGAGAGGGATATCCAACTACCAGTTTAGGCTTGATCCCACAGGGACTGGGACTAAACTGGCAGTTGGACATCCCCCAAGGGATTCCAGATTGGAGAAGGTGCAGGCTGGGCTGAGGGACACCTTCCCCATCCCTTCCCATGAATGAATTTCATGCACAGGGCCTCTAGTGGTAATGTAAGACAATAAGCAGCTTAAAAAGTATGTATATATTTTAACTTTAGAATATACTATATAGTGTACCTGTTATTATCCTTGGTAATGAAATTGTTTAATGCCATGGAAACATATCAACTGGTAGTAAGAGAGAACCTCAGAACAGGTAGGGAAGAGAAAGGTCATAGCACTTAACTGAGAATAGAATACTAGGAGTCGCCTGCCAGTTTGGTGTGTCTTGAGCTTAATGCCTAAATATTGACCTTATCCATCTAATATGTTTCTATCATGAGCTTCCTAAGAGATTACTACCGAGACTAGTGAAAGGGTTCTCTATGATTTTGTTTTATAATTTTTAACCTGTAGTCTCTGTGTTTTGAATAATTTAGTCTCAAAATACACTGGATTTATCATGGAAAAATTAATGTTACTGCTTATTCATAAAAGGTATCTTTTCATTTTTGTTCATTTCGTTAGTCATTGCCTTATTTTAGTAAAGTTTTAATAAGATTGGTATCACAGTTATTGTGGAATAAAGCAAGATAATATGAATTAGAAATGTGTGAGAAAAAAAACAAACAAGGGTAAGGTATTATAGAGAATCTAGCATGTGGTTATTAGAGAATGACACTCAGAGAAGTACTACACATGTTCCAAAAATTTGGCTTTAAGCATCCTTGCAACCAATGTGAAAAGGGAACCCAAACAAATATGTGTGTGGATGTGGCCACAATTTGTGCTTTTGATCAGCATGAATTAATCAATGTTATCAACATGAATTTATAGAATTCTAACAAGAAGCAAAGAAACATAATTGTTTGGTTACTTTTTCCCAGATTGATCATGGATAAATTAATGGTGCCCATGAGACTTTGAAATAAAAACAGTTTGTGGCTACTCCTTCCCTCAACCCCCACTTTGAATTCCTAGCTGTCTGGATTCCATCTTGCAATCCAAGGATCTAGTGGCTACTGTGAATCTTTTCCTTCAGATAAAATGTTTTATTTCATTTGTCATAGCGAATAAATGTGAAATGAGTTTTAGGGACAAAATAGGCAGGTTGAGGGAGTTTTAGGAATAAGGAGGGTCCATGGGAGAGGAATGCATAGATAGAGACTTGAAGACGCCAGGGTGCTTATCTTACTTATACAGAGGATAGAGAAATGCCACAGGCAGATGGAAACATTTCTGGCCTAAGCAATTAAAACAGCCGTAAACTGAGGGCAGGGGTATCTCGGGAAAGGCCTGCTCTCTCTCTCTAATGGGAAAATAAGAAAATCCCACCTTGTGTTCCTTTGCCTCTGGTTTATATATATATGCTGCAGTTCTTTGTTTGAATCTGACCTTTTCTTATTGGTCCCTTTCCTTAATTTGGAACCCCCATGTTTGCCCAAGTCCATTCCCTTTACATCATAGAAGAAAGAAACTTCACACGAATTCACACTATGCTTTTGGTTTTTTAACAAATTACTTCTTGGAGAGAGGGGAGCTTGAATTTGGAAACACTAAACACTATTGCTAGTTAGAAATTAGGGCTTAACCTAAATGCCCAAATCAGAATCAACAGCAGTGAAATTTTGTGGCACTTTAGTTGGAAGGAGATTTCAAGTGCAGAGATTTCAAGTTTCCATACCTGTGTTATTACCTGCTCCACCTGACATGTCCTATGCCACTGTCACACGCACTGCTTTGTAGGAACCGATGCAGACTCACAGAGCTGTAATTGAGCCTTACAGAGTGGGAGGGGCCACGCTGAGCACTTAGATAAGATGTTACTTAATGAGTGTCTTCCAGGCTGGATCAGGGCGGACGCCTTCATTCACACTGATTTTGTTCTTTCCCCTCTGATGCTCTGTGGAGGGAGAAGATGGTTATAAGTGGTTCACAATCATTGTAATTAGCACACAATTCATTCCAGAAAGGGTGATTTCTTAATGTTCACAAATTGCATACTTCAAAAGATCAGTTGAAAGACATAAATGGTCATTAATATTAACACTTTGTTCACCTCTTTCCCCATTAAAAACTTCAACCTACAAGCATTTAATGCTTCAAGGGAAAAAATACCATCTGAATGAATAATTACACTATTGTGGCTGTTACTCCACATTGGGGCAGCTGTGCCCTGACCTCAGTATGGCAGTGGGGCAGTGTAGACCCCGGCAGGAGATTAAAGGCACTTTTCCAGCCCTGAGACAGGATGAGAAAGTCATTCCACCTCTAGCAGTTAATGAACACGATTTTCAATTAGATTCCTGAAGCTGACTGCTCAGCTCTTACACTGGGCAATGATGGCAATTAAAGCTGGTTCCAGGGCAGGTTGGGGTGAATGGAGACACTGAAAGGCATTTAGGTTGTCCCTGAAATTCTGTGCTTCTTGCATCTACATGTGATTCCTCAGGGTTAGGAAATTGCTATGTAGATTTATGTAAAATAATATGCAAATCAGAAGTGTGTCTCCCCGCTTTAAATGAAGAGAACTGCAGTAGTACAACACTGCTATCCTCTCAGGGGTTTGCTTCCTACCACCCTCAAGTCTTTACTTAAAAAAAAAAAAAAAAATATATATATATATATATATATATATATATCTCCTATCTAATAAAGAGGGAATATGCTAATTGATCATCATGCCGTCACAAAGATGGCAGCACCCACAGCCAATAAGGAGGGAATATGCTAATTAACTGTCCCACCCTCAAAGATGGCAGTGCCCACAGCC